GGAAGAAGGGCCGTTGTCGGAAACGTTGCCTATTATACATGGGGTGGTTATTTTAAAGCCACCCAGTATTCTAGACGAATACGTTGTGTACTCTTAGGTTTTTTTCGGTAAAAGTCACGTGGTGACTTTACCGATACAGTAAATCTAGCTGTGACGGTCCCACCTGATGACGGAGACTTGTGTTGCCTCCGAAACGTCGTGATTTTTCATTTTATTTCTATTATTATTTCTATTATTTTTACTTTTATTATTTATTTTTACCTACGTGACTTTACCGAAAAAAACCTAAGAGTATGAATCCTTGCAGTCACGAAAGCTTCAAATCTAGAATGAATACGTGGTGTTTTTTGTTGTTAATTGTGCTTGTGCATTGTTGCCAACGCCACAGTATGGCCAACGTCATGTTTAAATTGGAGCGTGTATCATTTACACGCCACCCATGGGGTGTAATATTTGGTGCAATGGACTCAATTCTATCTCCTGGTGCGGCAGCTGAATCGACGCAGCAAATTAAATTCCTCCCTCGTCACCACTATCCGTCTGGCAGGGTTGAATGTGTACACCACAGTCTAGTCCATCGGCAGGTCGCTTGTGGTGAAACGTGCATTGAGATTTAGAGATATTTTTTTTCTGCTATAAATGTCCAAATGATAAGGCAATTTGTTGAGCGATCATTTATGGCCAGGTCGCTTCTGAAAAATAAGTTAATACCTCAGTGGGCTTTGCCTGGTAGGGTGGGGATGCATCTTCTTCTTGGTTCTTTCGGTAAAGTCACGTAGAATGGAAATAATAAAATAATAAAATAAAACATAATAAAATAATTCTCACGATGTTTCGGCCACAACGCAAGAAGCCGTCCTCAGGTGAAGAACAGGTCTATCGAGAAGACAGAGTCTGAATGAAACAACCCCAAGCTTGGAGCGTCTATTTAAGCTGGGTTGGAGGGAGAAGAGCACCTTGACAAAATAATTTGCATATCAAGAGAAATTTAGCATATTTATGGGAAATGCAGATATGGGATTAGTACTACTTGTGAAGTAGTGGTTTAGTGATGTATTTGTTTGTTTTTGGGTGATTTGTTTACCTTTCTTGTACTTTGCACGACTATCATGTTTTTATATTGTTTATTGTTGTAACGTTCTTAGCTGCCCTTACTGGACATCTGTGAAAAAAAGAGCATTATAGCTCATCGGATTCCACCGGTAGAAATACATATTCTTTTTCGATTTAAAGCTTTCGTGACTGCAGGGATTCATCTTCTTGGTTCTTTCGGTAAAGTCACGTAGATAATTATTTTATCATGTTTTATTTTTATTATTTTATTACTTCCCTTCTACGTGACTTTACCGAAAGAACCAAGAAGATGAATACATATTCTGTTAACATGTTGGCACTCCCGCCTCTTCCACGATGTCTGGGCGAGCATGGACGAGCAGGCGAAAAATCCCTCCTGCTATGGCAGTAGGAAGGCCCTTCTGCCAGCAGTGGTGTGAGCAAGCACTTGCAGGGCTGCGCCTCTACCGTTTTACACCCCACCGGATTCCTTGCCTTCCAGATGCTTTAATAACGTTCAGTGATGCACACCATCGTGTATATATATGCACACAGCAACGAAATGTCAACCCGTGACAAGGAATTCATGCCATTTGCAAGAGGGCCCTCCCATAAAGTTGTGTTTAATGTTCAGGTCAGATTGTAATGTCTTATTATATATTTATGTTTTACCATCTGAGCCACACGAGACGATACCTATGTCTGTTCCTTTTTCCAATTTATCGGAAAATGTTACATTTTACGACGTGGGTGATGAATACAACTTCTTTAGCTGAGCATCATCATATCATATCATGCCATGGAATGGTACAAATGAAGGTGCCAGTCCAGGACTTACCTGGTTAGTAGTCCATGTATATACTGCCTGTTGTACACACACGATGCCGTGTTTATTTTCACATTCTGAAGATGTTCCTTATCACAACAGTTGTTTTAATTTGTTTGTTCCACATTACTATTCTTCATCAACTGTGCATTTAAAGAACAGTTTCCTCATAAACAGCTACCACATCAAGATTGCTATCCTATTTAAAACTGTCAAACTGTTTAAAACTGTTTTTAATTTTGCCAGGTAAGGCCCAATGAGCTATCTTGCTCTGTTTCCGAAACGACCTGGCCTCAAATGATAGCTCAACGAAGTGGCTTATCATGTGGTAATTTATAGCAGCCAAATACTCTAAATGCACGTTTATAAATGTGGAGTGAAACACCAGAGGACCCGGAGAAAAATCCACGCGACCACGGGGAGAACACGCAAACTCCAAATGTACAGGCGTCAGGATCGGGATCGAACACCACGACTTCCTGTATACCAGGTGAGGGAGTTAACATTTCGCCCCCGAGCGATAGGTTTATCTGTGATGGAGAGAAGTGATATGGGAGCTACCTATCCATGAGAAGCTCTTAAACTCCCCCCCCCCCCGCCACTCCAAAGTTGTGCCTCAAGTCCCGGGGCCGGCCCCATTCGGGGACAGGGCCAAAGCCCTCAACGCGAGCTCGTTCCGCTCCACCTGGACGTGGCGAGACGCCACCGTGCCACGATCAAGGAGCTCGCTGCCGACCACCCCACACGAGAAACTCCCGGGGTTCGACTCCTACCCAGACAGCAATGGTCAGCTCTAAACCGCTGCAGGACAGGGTTAATACCGCAAGATGCGGCCACCTCCTTCATCGATGAAAAATTAAAATAAACGGCCCGCAGTGTGACTGCCGCGGTCGCCAGAGGCAGACAGTGGATCACGTGTTTGAGCCAATGCCCCCTGCACCGCCGATTCACAGGTCATGGCTCACACGATCCAGCACTGTCCCACGCACCGCCAATTCACAGGTCATGGGTCACACGATCCAGCACTGCCCCACGCACCGCCAATTCACAGGTCATGGGTCACACGATCCAGCACTGCCCCACGCACCGCCAATTCATGGGTCACACGATCCAGCACTGCCCCACGCACCGCCAATTCACAGGTCATGGGTCACACGATTCAGCACTGCCCCACGCACCGCCAATTCATGGGTCACACGATCCAGCACTGCCCCACGCACCGCCGATTCACAGGTCATGGGTCACACGATTAGCACTGCCCCACGCACCGCCGATTCACAGGTCATGGCTCACACGATCCAGCACTGCCCCACGCACCGCCAATTCACAAGTCATGGGTCACGCGATCCAGCACTGCCCCACGCACCGCCGATTTGCGGGCAGTATCACTGAAATCCACTAAGCCCCTACAGAGGTTGTTGCATGGCTTCATCACCTCGATATCCACATTGAGAAATGTTGCCAATTTCACCTCGCCATATGAAAGAAGAAGCGATAAAATTCTTGAGGAAAGTCACTGCCAGCATTTGGCACGCTAGGTGGAACCGATGATCCTCGTTTTTTCAGGCTACTGGCTCGAGGTGACCATTAATCGCAGGCATCTGTCTGAGATTTGAAACCAGGTTTTTTTCCATGACATTCGCTCACAGCTCCGACACGGGCGTTAGCCCCTGGAGGCGTATATTGCCACATTAAAAAAGACAGTTTTTTTTTTTGGCCTAAATCAGCCAATGCGATGTGCGATTTGCTGTGTGTATAAATAGTGTAGATGTTACTCTCGCCAGAGATCCATACATTAAGATTAATTTGACTAAAATTAAAACGGTGACAAATTCCATTGTTTTTTTTTGCTCCCCCCCCCCCCCCTTCCTCCGTGCCCGAATTCTCGTTGTCATCACGAGATGACACTGCCAGTGCAATACCGCGGGCCGAAACAGCTCCGGAATATGACGCGGCACAACTACTTCTGAGGTCACGTCACTTGCCACCTTCTGTGTGGCCCTGCAAATGGTGTCTTATCGCAAGTCAAATGAACAATATTTCAACGAGATTGTCAGAGCAGGAATAAGCCGAACTGAGTCCAATTTCTTTTTTTAAGTGACGGTTTGAGGGACGCGTTTTTAATCACAGGCGGCTGCCAAGATTCGATTCCAGGACCTGAGAGCAACCGCCTCAGTGCTCTGACGTGGCACCAGCTCACTAAAGCCACCGCTACCCACACGCATTTACTTCAATAAACCTGTTCATTCAACAAGATACAAAATGAGAAATGTTAACGATGCCGCGTGCTTGCTCGTATTTATCAAGAAATTGTTTTTTTTTTCTCATCGCCGAGGTAAGGTCAGAGCACTGACCTGGCACTGCTGAGCTTCTGGGTTCAAATCCAGGTGACCGCTTGTGATTAAACATCGCTCTCAAGTATGGCGAGTTAGCAATATGATGGTTCTTGGCTTGTTCACTTCACCATTGGATTTCAACACTCAATTTGGTTCTGTGCATGATGAGGCTTTATTATATCTGAGAATGAAAATATTGGTTTCAATGCCACGTCATGAATATTACTGTCACGTGCACAGTGTGAACAAGAAGAGGGATCTCAGAGGTGGCTCTGTGGTGTCCGCTTCTGTGGACCGTTCTCTAACATTAAGGGCTACGCCGAGCCGCTCAGAATCAGAATATTTATCCTGGAGAAATCCGATGAGCTATGAAGCTCTTTTTCACAGGATGTCCAGTAGCGGCAGGTCAGAAAGTTACAACAACAAACATTACAAAGTATGGGAAAGGTAAGCAAATCACTAAAATTAATCAAATAAAGTATAAAATAGATAAATTCCCAAAGCTTGAGCAAGGCAGAAAAACACGAACAAAAACAGTCCCATACCACATCAAACAACACAGTCACTCTATAAAATTACACATTCAAATTCAACTATCGATACCATGGGTAAGGATGAAAATTACAAGAGATTCGAACGACATCAAGAGCACGATTGGCATAGACATGCTGGGAAACTGACAAAAAATGTAAAATTAAAATTGTAAATAGGTTATGAACCCCCAACGATGAAATAACACTTTTGATTGCTGCGCGCAGAAGATACGCACGACTCAGTCAGATGGCTCTTGCCGAAGTTGCATATCGTTTATTTGTTCACTTAACAAGTGGATTTCAACTACAGTCTTCGGGGACCACCTCAGTCCAGCATTCGACATATGCCTTGCAACAGACACGAGCAATTTACAAACAGTTCATAATTTACATTTTAACGAGCAGGCGGGTAATGTACATCCGAGTGTGAGCGACTGGCGGCCGCGTAAAAAGTCAGACTGATGGTCGGTCTCTGAGGACTGAGGTGGGAGGGGTGCTGGTCACAAAACCCCTGAAGTGAAAATCTAAAAAACACTCAATGTCCAGGTGCGATCCCAAATCTACAAAACAACATTAGTTCCCCCGATGCGATTACCCCTTCCCCGACCCACCCAACCGCTGAGCAAATGCATTTCATTAGAAAAAATATACAAGGCTTATATAATTAAAGAGCTACATTAAATGATAAAAAGTAATCCCTTTGTCAAGCCACTGCTAGATGAAGGTCCCTCCATTCCATCTTGGTTGTTGGGGTTGTTTGACCATACTTCACCAAACTGGTCAATGCGAGTCGGTGAAGGGTAAGGGGCAGGGTGAGGGGTATGGGCCTACTTCAGATATCACTCGTCAATGATGCAACACGTGGTGGCTTCATAAAGCGGTGCGCTAACCACTGCACCACCACTCTCCCCCACCTGCCCCTGTCCCCCTTCCACCAAAGTAATGGAATGAAATAAACACGATATGTGTTTTACAGTAAATCACTGGAGTCGGGTCTGTAGCCATTGGTTCTGCATTCTTAACCATAGAAATTACTGCCACTGCTAATGGCACCGATGCATGTACTGGTGTCAAACGATGGAGCAAAGAGCTGGAATCACACAGTCCGACTGCATGCCCAGTAGTGTGTTTGATTCATATAAAAAAATATACAAATCTAAACTTGTATTGAAATTGTGTTACAGTGTTAAAAGCAAAACTATACAAGGTAATAAAAAAAGGCAGGAAGGAATAAAAAAATATTTTGACAATCAGTGGTTTTGAGAGAGACTGAACTCATTCGCCCCTGGCAGGATTAATCACACGGCGTGCAAGAGTAACTCTAAAGCTCCCCATCGGCAATTAAAAGCAAACAGCACGTTGCAAACATCGAGAAGTAATTTGGAAATAACAAAGCGCTGCAGGCAGAATGACGAATTATTACATTTTTTCCCCCTCCCTGTTGCAAAATTAACTTTGCACGCTTCGCTAAAAGGTGTTAAAATATACGCTACCGATTCGGTGACTAAAATCATGTCTCAGAACACAGTTCTAATTAAACAATAACAGCGTGACCGACCTATATATATTGCGTTTTACTTGTACATCAATCTCACATCTGTCAAAGCACGCGACGAGGCGACAGGGCTCGCACGCATCAAAACCAACACCTTCCGAGGTTGAATTTTCCACTTGTGATTAAAAAATACTCGACACAATCATAAAAAACACCGTGGCCTTAAAAGTAACTACGGTATATATGTATAATGTATATGCTTTGGGGGCGATGGCATGTCATCGTAGCAAATGTGCTATGTAGAAAGGCCATTTGCCTGAAACGTCGCCTACTTTTCCTTTCAAGGCTACGTTATTTACAAATGCGTGAATATGTTTGGTTTTATTTGTGATTGTGGACTACGGCCAACGCAGCAGCGGCATCACCAAAATTATTTGTTACATTTTACCTCCGATTAGCACGGTTGGCTACACACGGTGCAAAATAAATTCAACATGCATCTCATTCGTGCGTTTTTTTTTCACCCAGATTTTCCAGAATAATCCCATGTAATAGATGCTAGAAGCCTTTGATTAAAGTTTCGTGCATTTGACTATCGTTTCGATTTAAAGCTTTCGTGACTGCAGGGTTTCATCTTCTTGGTTCTTTCGGTAAAGTCACGTAGAAGGGAAATAATAAAAGAAAACATCATAAAATAATTCTCACGACGTTTCTGCCACAACGCAAGCAGAAGACAGCGCTCTTCCCGACAGAATTATTTTATTATGTTTTATTTTTTTATTTCCCTTCTACGTGACTTTACCGAAAGAACCAAGAAGAAGAAGAAGTTGACTATCGTTATTAATATTCCTGAACCCATCTTGTTTGACAATCTGATAAAGACTAACGCCACGTTTGTGACGCGCTCGGAAGCAACGCGTTCACTCTGTGACTTCCGAGGATCTGTCGACCGTACTATGCCGCCCTGGGGCCTTGACGATTTCACTGCTTTAAAAGTGTCACGCCGTTACCAGAAAAAAACCCTGAAGTAAAAGCGTTAAACGTAAAAGTAACACCCACCGAACACTGACGAAGTGAATGTTGTGTGGGTGCCCCAGCTGACAAAATAAAAATAAAAACGCCGCAAAAGATGCCAGCGTCGGTCTCACAAAGAAGAGAGCGGTGAACTTCACCGGGACAATGCCGCGTCCTCCGCACGGCATCCGCGACCAGATGTGGGACCCCGCGACGCCTCCTCTGAAACCCCCTGCTCGGTGTCTCGTGCGTCACTTAACATGATGATGATGATTGTTGTTATTATCGTTCGTTACGATTCTGCAGGCCCCTTTTTGTCAGTCGGTGCGGGCAAAGGAAAGGGGAGTAGCTGCATGATACTTAGCGGTCAGTGTGCACTTTTCCATCCAAGGCAGCTTGTAAGTACGCAGCCAGTGAGTTTGATTTACACAAAGTGGCTCGTCACTGTCATTTCTTTTCAGTGGCAGTCACCAAGGCACGAATACCAAAGCAAAGCCGCCCGTTTTCCGAAAGTGGAAATTACAGACCCACCATCACGCACGTGCTGTCAGAAACTGGCGGCATGTCCTATATTTTGAACGGCTGAAGTTACAGACGTGATGATGGTGGATGATGAAGATGCAACGAGCATGATTTTGATGTATTGTGCGTAAATGGCTGGTAATTGATTTCGAGGCTGACAACGTTGTGCTTGTGTTGATAGTGATGGAAGCTATTTGCCCTGTAGGAGTATCTGCTATAGTGTTGCACGCTGCAATAGAATTTGCAATGGTGCTGTATGTTGCAGCGGTGTAGTGATTCAAATCTGTAAATGACGAGAAAACCCAATCAAAACAGAAAATGTAGTGCCGGCCGGAATACAAATAGATTCAACAACAAAGGAAAACGTGTGCATTGTACGAACACAGGATCTCACCCTTATCCAGACCACCAGATTGAGTTGGGTAGTCTGGGTAAAGCTCACAGCTTTTGTACTGAACCTAGCAGCGTAGTGGTATTGTTGTTGTGTGTTGTAGTAGTCACGGCATATGTTCCATGGTCGTGGTGTATGCTGTGGGGCTGTATGTTTTATTGGTATATTCTATGGTGTGCTGAGTATTGGTATAAGCTATGGCGCTGCGTACCCGAGTTGTGTCAGCTTCTGCGGTGTGTTGTGTCTGGGTTAGGTGGTGCCAAGATGTGGCAGTGGTGCTGTTGTGTACTGTGGTATCGGTGACGTGGCGTCGAACACAACTTCTTCTGCTCTTTGGAGTTGTGCGGCTCTGCTGCTCAGCGAGTTATTGTGCTCAGGAACTGCTGATGATTTCGTTCGAAGATGCCTGTGACGAGACACACACACACACACGCATACACACACACACAACACGATCCTCTTGTTAATCGTCTCATCTGTGCTGCCGCTCGTTCTCTAAAGCACTGGCTTCGCACTGCACTCTCAGGGTTACTAAACATCGCCGAGCGTGCAGTGGCTTAACGCGCGAGTCACGGGCCCAAGCACACAGGTGGAAAAAAAAAACAAGATCCCTTTTGAGATTCCGTGGACCTTGTGGGTCAAGAGCGGACATCAAGAAAATGCCTTCAATGCCCACTTACACATGCGCACACACGCGCGCATGCACTCCCGAAGGCAAAGACAAAGATCTACGTGTAGCCTTTAATAGGCCGTCGGGGAAAGTGCTGTGAGCGAGCGCCTATGAAGGCCGGCACGGCAGACGAGGGGATGGGTGGCCAACACCACGGCCGACCGCCTTTCTGTCTCCCGAGCGGCGATGATTTTACACACCTTACCAGGCGCTCAGTTGAGGCCGACTCGTCCTTACACACAAGCGTATTCGCGTTCTTACAAATTCACCCTCGTAAACACGTCTCACACACAATGATATGTGCACATTTACAGTACGTATGCGCAAGGAGGTAGTCGCGTGTGGCCAGTAGCACGCCCAGCCACCAATGACTCCCTCGGTGCTTTTCTCGTTTGTTGGAGAGAGCTTGCAATGGGACGTCATGTTTGGCGATCCACTCCATGGCTTCCCGAGATATTGAGTGGAGAAACGAAGCTAGCCTTCCACAGCAGATCTCAGTGGGCAGGTCGATGCGATCGATACCTTTCAGGGTCTGGGACTCGTGGCCACGGTCGCACTTGTGTGCGGGGGTGGGGGGTCGCATCAATCATCCTCCCCCCTACACTGAACTATACTCAACTTTTTTTTTATTTCACCAGGTAAGGCCCACTAAGCTATACAGTAGCTCTCTTTCAGAAGCAACCTGGCCACAAATGGTAGCTCAGCGAAGTGGCTTATCGTGTGGAAATTTCCAGCAGCCAAATACTCTTGAACGCGTAATGTCGATTCTGAATGTGGAGGGAAAAACCGGAGGACCCGGATAAAAATCCACGAGAACACAGGGAGAGAGACATGCAAAATCCAAATACACAGGTGTCAGGGTCGGGATCGAACCCATGACCGCATGTATACCAGGAGAGGCAGTTAACATCTCGCCACAAATGGCGCCCTGCTTCACTCGTGAAACAGGCGGGCGCGTCATCGTCCGTGTCCTGTCGTGCGGGTTCAGTCGAGTGCCGTCCACTGTCTTCGAGGGAGGTCAAAGCCAGTGACCTCTGCTGCTGGGTCAGCGACGAGGCGTTGGCTCTCTATGCCGCGTGCGTCCCACGATTCCGTCCATCAGAACGATGGCTCATTGCCATCTGCGTGGATAGCGGCTGCTGCTTCGTGTGGAAGGCTGGCGTGATTTTAAGCACTTTCATGATGGGGTTTTTCAAGTCTTCATTGGTAGGGACTTTGGAGTCGTTGAAAGGCTGCATCAGGTACTAATTTAAGGCTGCGTTCACTGAGAGGAGGCCTGATCCTTGGTCAAGATAATCGACGCTGTTGTTGGCTATGGCCAGGAATAAAACCCAGGTCACCAAGTTCCTTGCGCATACGAACACGCTTGTACGCCCACGCATTCCAGCTTGCTCATGCTATGACAGGCAAACATGCATGTTACATGCGCACACACACACACGTGGGCTGCGCCGTTCCACGCAAGCCACGGGTTGGTGCGCCGTGTCTGGCAATACTCAAGGTAAACACTGTTGTATAAGAGGAGGTGAATTTTAAATCACTGTACTCGAGTCATATTGATTGCCAGAGCATGTAAATTAGTGCCTTAAAGCTTTCGCGACTGTACGAATTCATACTCTTTGGGTCTTTCGGTAAAGTGACGTAGATAGAAAAATAATTAAATAATACAGCATATTTCTTCCTGCCTCAGCAGTCCGCCTGCTGTATTTTTTCACCTGAAGACGATTGCTTGTATTGCGAAGGTGTTGAAAACATCCCCCATAAAACAAAAAAGCGATTGTCTCTGTCGCTTTATATACTGAACATCTGAATGTATAAATAGAACATCTAAAAGACACGTACACTTAAGCCAAATGACTAAACTGCTTAGGATGCCCAAGGATCTCGTAAGATCGCGGTAGCGAAGCAGAGCTTGGACGAGTGACCACCACGAACGCCTGGTTGTAAGAGGCTGCTGCGGGGATGTGCTACGTGGTGGTCAGCAGAGAGTGCAGTGAAACAATCATACGCCGCTGTTCCTTGCTAGTATAATGTGAGGATATATCCGGCTCACTGACGTATCACAACTCGTCATGATGATTGGCTCTGCCGGTCCTGGTTTATAGCCAATGGGGGGAAGCCTAGGGGTGTGGCCCTGACGTAATGGAAAGGTGACAGCTGTAAGTAGAGGATTGGTTCTGCTGGCTTTGGCCACAGCCAATGGGGAGATGAGTCAGGGGCGTGGTCCCGGGAGCCTATGAGGGAGCCTGGAATATTCCATGGAGGCTAACCAGGATTGGTGGAAACGTACCACGTGACTCGGGTATTAAATAGGGGTGGAGACGAACGACACGTGGTCAGAATGGGAATGAACGGAGGAAGGGGCCACGCGTGAGCGGGGCTCCGGGTTGCCACGTGGCAGTGCGTCTCTATCTGTCCCTCTCACGCTGCCTGTCAGCAGCGTGAAGGAAATCTGTAATGCAAGTTGAATAAAAGACCGGATTCCAGAAGTCGCCTCAACGACCTTAATTACACTAGTATGATCCCGCGTCTCTTCTCCCCGCCTTCGCCAACCCGTACTGACCAGCGTGGGCGCATTAACCCCACGGGCCGTATGGCGTGGGGAGGGCCACATCCAGCGGTGGAGTGACAAAAAGGGGCTGTACGTGTTCTCTCATCTCAGCACACTGAGCTACAGAGGTCAGCCACCGAGGATTCGATTTGGCGTCTCGCTCAACGAGTTGCGGGTCTCGCCTAGGTTGACTCGACCTAAGATATAATACCGAACGTAGCTGCATGTCACGAACGTCAAGAGCAGTGCGAGGTCGAAGAGGCATGATGCCAAAGGCTGCTTCACTTCCTCGTGTGCTGCGCTCGTCATGATATAGGCACTCGCTAACACCTTGCCAAAATGATTCATACTTCTATTCATCACAGTCGCTCCCTGTTCAAGTCCAGGTCTCAAGACCTTCCTGTTTTCTTCCTCTGCCTACGACTGCCTGCCTCTCGCTCTCTCGCCATTTCATCTTGAGTGGGCGGTCGCATTTAAACGCTATGCACATCGACATTTGAATTGCAGATTGTTATAAATGCGACGGTTGCGGAAGCTTTTTTTCCCCTTGCAATGATGTCTAGCGAATAATCCACGAACATGTTTCATACACAGTGGATGGGACATTGTAAGTTTGAAACGGGGCAAAAAAAAAACTGCACCAGATAGCCAGCCTGATGCCTTTTAAAAGGTGGCCTTTAATAATGAGGTCTTTGGCAGAGAAAGGCCTCATTTGTATGTGAGTGCTATTGAACTCTGGTGACAAACCACTCAGACACCCGACTACATCAAATAACATAATGATCGCACCTGGGAGAGGCACTCGGGCATTCCAGCATGGCTCGACAGAGGAGAGAAAGTAGAATTAGGCCGAGCCGTCTTTAACGGACAGGTGGGAGCCGTGTTAAGGCTTTTATATTGTCTCTGGCTGACGGTGTATGCTAAAATGTGTGTGTGCATGCGGTGAGTGGTGAGCAACTGAGTGAGAGTGTGAGTGGTGAGTGGTGAGCACACTAAGTGTGAGTGAGAGTGCGTGAGTGGTGACACACTGAGTGTGAGTGGGTAGGTGGTGAGTGGTGAGCACACTGAGTGTGAGAGTGTGGGTGGTGAGTGGTGAGCCCACTGAGTGTGAGAGTGTGTGGGCGGTGAGTGACTATGTTACAAGATTTTTGTTCCTGGGTAGTAAGTGATATGTTCTAATTGCTTATGCCTCAAAAGTATAGAAAATTGGTATTATTTCCCACAAACTTTGGTTTTGTGACCCGGACTTTACGTGACGGAATAACACAAATGCACACTTTTCTCATTGAAAATAGGTACATTCATAAATATCACTGTCCTGGTCACAAAAGCAAAGTTTGTGGGGAATAATAGCCGTTTTCTGTACGTTTGAAGCATAAGCAATTGGAAAATAACACTTACTACCCAGGAACAAAAAAAACATGTTTTTTGTTACACAGTTATCACATTGGTTTGACAATGAGTGCTAGAGTGTGTGTGTGTGCCTTTGGTGAGTAGTAAACATATTGGTGTGACTGAGCGCTGCAAGAGTGTGCGTAGGGGAGCAGTGGGTGTAGTGGTTAGCACACTTTGATTTTACAAAAACCCAGCTCAGCCTCAATTAAGCCAACTGGCGTAGAGCGTTGACATCTGCACTGGGAAGACAAAGGCGGTTGGGCGTGGTGCTGGCTGTACCCACCCACCCATTTGCTCTGTGGCCAACCTTTACAAGAGCTCGCAAACAAAATTTGCCCCAACAGTCTAATAAGGGTAGATCTTCGTGTCAGTGAGTGTGTCCGTGCAAGTCGGGTCGCATTTGTAGGAACTCTGGTTGGCCTGCATTCCTGCACATGGGCTGAGGTCCAAGCCACATTGCAACACGACAGCAAGCTACTTTATAGATACTTTTTTTATATATACTGTATTTACACGGCGCAGAGAACAGGTTAATCATCAGACACATGTTAGCACGTTGACACTTTGTGCATGAAAAAACTAGCACGAACATAACGAAACCACTCTTTAAGAGTAAATTTCTAATGCGAAGTGTTATAGTGCCAATAAATTGCTGCGTTTTTATGCAATTATAGCGTTGCCAAACAAGAATGAAAACTGAATACAGATGCACAAAGATACACATACACGCGCTTAGTAAAGCAAGCGTCTTAATACTTCACGAGGCCTTCTTTGCCAGTAGCAAAATATAATAATAGGTTTTTTACCCTTTTTTCTGGCGAACAAAACTGAAACCTTTTTTTACAAGGGATCATGTTTGCCTTAGCCACAATACCTGCAGTCAGAATGCAAACAAAAACACACTCTGATAATGTATGCATTGTCCTTGAAATTAAGGAAAGCTGCCTCTGGTGTGGACCAATCAATTTCAAGGACAATGCATACATTATCAGAGTGTGTTTTTTGTTTGCATTCTGACTGCAGGTATTGTGGTTAATGCAGACATGATTCCTCGTAAAAAAAAGGTTTCAGTTTTGTTGCCAGAAAACAGGGTAAAAAACCTATTATTGCGTGTTAATACTTGTTATCTACTTTAACAGCAAAAAAAACCCTATACTTGTAAATATTAATTCCAAGTCGCCTCTAATAGCTCCGTATTATATACACCTGCAATTGCAGAGGTAGTCAGTTTGCGTCTATCTCCCGGTGCTGCAGCTGGGACAAATATATAAAGTCATCACCCCAAGACCGGGTCCATGTCTCTGTCCAGACAGCAGTAGAGATGGCCACAACCAACGTTTAGTCAATCGACTGGTCACGTGCGGTGGGGTAAAGTGTAGGTAAACTCCCCACTTCTCCCCAAGAGATTTGGCCGGCTCGAGGAGTTCTCTACAGTTCCGTTTGACAGAGGGCCCTTCGACCGGTAATCGGGCTAGCGAGCACTTTCACGGCTGCACCCTGACCTTTTTTTTTATTCAACCAGATGAAACGCAATCACATTTGTCTTGTGTGAGCCCTGGTGTGCAATTGGGCCGAGCGCGGACGGGCGGGTTCACACTCACCTCGTGTGAAATTGCAAATGACTGCTCGAGACAGGACGTAACGGGCAGAGTGTTAGGATAAATCACTTGTTCCGCGGCTCGAGATATTTCAGGTTGTTATCGAGATATAATTACTTGTGCGCGCTTTGTTATTCTTGTGTTTACAAACACAAGCTCGGAAGTGATGTGCACGCGCACACGCAACCACGCACGCACGCACAACAAAGATCACCCGTATCGCCTTAACAGACTGTAGGGGCAAGTGCTGTTAGCGAGCACCTATGAAGGCCAGAACGGCACACGAGACAGTGGGTGGCCAGCACCATGCCCCACCGCCTTTGTCTCCCCAGTGGCGATGTTTACACACCGCACCAGGTACTCATTTCAGGCTGAGTCGACCTATGGGAGGCCCAGGACCGGTTCAGATAATCGTCACTGGTGTTGGTCGTGAGCGGGAATCGAACCCGGGTTGCCAGGTTCATAGCGCAGCGCGCTAACCGCTACACTACCGCTCCCAGGCGTGTACACACACATACACAGTTACATCCTCAATTTCTTTGTACACAAACGCACACGTGCATACGTATACAACTCACCACATGTACACGTGATGCTGAACCGGTCCTGGGCCCACACACTTCACCAGCGCCACGGTGGCAAGATGTTAACTCCCTTGCCTGGCATACAGGAGGTCGTGGGTTCAATCTCAACCCAGACGCCTGCTGTATATTTGGAGTTTTGCATGTCCCTCTCCCCGTGGTCGTGTTGATTTTTCTCCGGGTCAGCCAGTTTTTTTCTCTCCAAATTTAGAAACATGCGTTTAGGGTATTTGACTGCTATAAATTCCCACATGATAAGCCACTTCATTGAGCTATCGTTTGTGGCCAGGTCGCTTCTGAAAAAGAGCTACATAGCTCAGTGGGCCTTAGCTGGTGAAATACAAAATATAGTTTTAAAATAGTTTAAATAGTTTAGTTGAACAATGACTGACACTGTGTGGGAAGGCCAGCAGCCAGTAGTCGAGTGACAAGAGGCTCTAAAAAGATGTTTTATTATTAAACGAGCACAGATGTACACGCTGCACATTGCCTGTAATTTATAACTGTCAAAACGCCTGCGCTATCAACATTTGTCAAGTTTTCACTGCCACCATATTTAATGGGTTCACATATCCAGACGGCAAATTGCTTATCTGTAATGAGAGCGCCTCTCTGTTCTGTTAAGGCATCACTCTGCCGATCGACATATCTGAAAAGCATTAGTTGTGTCAACAAATTCGATACAGAGTGCAGGCTCGAAGATTATGCAGGGAACAAAAAACCGCAGCGTCTTGCGAATTACCAAGGGTCAGAGGCTTCTTAATGGAGCCACAGCTGAGAACTGTGTAAGTAATGCCGCCCTATAACCGATCAGCGGACAAAGCCTTGGTAGAATGATGCCGGTTCAATAGTTAGAGCGGTGCAGGGACAAAGGATGTACGGCATTAGCTTCATCCGCAGCTAATGTTGGAGGGCTAACGATTACTCTCGCACTAATACAGGTGAGTTGATTATTTTGGATTATATTATGGATTACGAGCAGGGATATGCAGTCCAATATCATCTCTGTCCACTGCTGTCTACTTTGCCGTGTCTCATTGTGCCCTCAAGGCAAATGGACAGTCAGTCCTCTGCAATCATGATGTACGGAACATTATGCCGAACGTAATCTTAAAACAGCAATCCCTTTACAGCAAGGCTGTCATCTTATTGGAGCCTGTAATTTTCACTCCACTGCCCGTCCACGCACTCCCGGGCCCAGCAATTCAGGCTATCGAAGCGCCCAGCCAAACTTCACTCACTGGGAAGTCGCTCATTCACTTCAATCTTCTGCCCCCGTTGACTGGAACTCGGTTCCCATAGCCATCCCTGCTGTCAACTCCCAGCCCCTGTTCGCCCCCCACCCCATGTGACTGACTGCCTCTTTCCATTAAATGAATATGCCGGATGTGTCTGTGCAGAACTCCTTGTTGTCCTTCTCCCGCACCTCCGATTGGCACGGTTGGCTACGTACGGTGCGCAAGAATGTCAACATACATACGGCATCTCTAGTTGCGGTCGCATTTAGACGCTATATAAATCCAACCTGTAATTGAAACGTGTAACGAATGCTCTAGTTGTAGTTGCTTGTCTTAAGCAATTCCCTTCCGGTGATGTTTTGCTTGTTATTCACAGACATCAAACAGCGTGGATGGGACACAGTCTTTGAAGAAAACTATTAATTCACTGATTATTCAGTGGAACTGCGTTGGCAGTGGTAAACAAGCACAAATAACAACAACAAAATCAACACATTCGTCAATAATACTATAGCCTTTAAAGGAAAATAGTATATAACGGTCGACTTTTTCGGGGAAATTGCTCTTCTTTACAACGCAGAGTAGACCAAGTGAGGTAACGTGAGCAATGTAGAGAAAATAAAACTCCAAAATGACACCGCTGTGTACTTTTGTGAAGATTTTGCGCCTTTTGGCGTCATCTGGTCCAACCCATGTGAGACTAGGCTCTAAGGAAAGCTGTCTCGGGTGTGGACCAATCAACTTCAAGGACAGTGCACATTATCAGAGTTATGTTAGTTGTTTGCATTATGACTGCAGGTATTGTGGTCTATGCAAACATGACTCCTTGTAAAAAAGGTGTCAGTTTTGTTGCCAGATAAAAGGGTAACAAAACCAATTATCAAGATTTTGAAACGTTGCCTGTGCGGTCGCCTAACTTGTGAAATTCGCCCTCATGGCGGGGCCGATCGCTCCTCTGCGACCGTGGCCACTATCAGGCCGCGTACTCACATCTCCGTTGCCGATGAGTTCACCGTTGCCGCCAAACACCTCCTGTCTCTTCTCTTTCCTCTTGTTCTGCACGGGAAAAGGTCAGCGCACCACACGTCACACACACACACACGCGTGCACGCACGGTCAGATTAAGACCAACGAAACGCGAACCCTTTATTCACCCTTGCGGAAGCCACGTCGAGTCTCACAACATTTGTACGCTTGACTTCACCATATAGCCCAAACAAATCCTCGTAATTCGGGAAGAGATAAAAAATAACGTTGGTTCACTTAAATCATGTTAACAACAAAAAACACCTTGATAGTTGCGGCTGACCCGACGAAGCGTGCTGTCGATCTTAATTAAAGGGATACAAATCGGCACGTGGCCGTACATGACACCTGCATGGCATTTCCGTTGCGAACAGCACGTGCTAATTACCCGCAATTAAGGGGTAATTGCAGGCACTTCTTTGCTATCAAATGGACCATCGCCAATCTGCGTAAACCACCAATCCACAAGAGGTTCGGATCCAATTACAGTAATTCATATTTGTGGTCGCTGGATTTATTAATTTATTATTGTTGTTGTCTCTGTGAAGCCATCGTGGAGGGGTGGCGCAGTGGTTAGCACACCGCGCTATACAACCCCGCAAACACTGAGTTCCCTTTCCAAGCGCGACTAACATCGTTGCTGAGCGATTATCTGAACCGGTCCTTCTTCAAGCCACGCTGACAAAGCGTCGACTGCAGTTTGGTCCAGCATGGGGAGGCCTTCATACAGCAGTGGATTGGCAATCAAAGCCAGTGTTTAGAATGAACCATTTAATATTTTTTCATGGTGACGGAGGGTGAGTAATGTGTGGGTAACTCCACGCCCTCCGACCTGTTTGACCGGCTTTGACGCGCAGGTTAAATGCCCCCCGCAGAACGAGTTTGTAGTGTGAGCCGTGAACGCGCGCACCGGGGTATAGAAACGACCTTTACATTTTAGCCCAACGCGAACACTCTGGTGCCGGGTCTATCCTATGACCACTGTTTCATTGCTTTCATGGCTTTATTTCGGTGATTTCGAAAAGTGTAATGGTTTAGCCATGTTTGTTTGTTGTAGTACAGAGTTAGACTGATGGCCTTAATCTAAGTTGTCTTGTGGTTGTTGTTGGTTGTTTGACTTGCATCCCACTGGGATTTTTGCACACAGCGTTGGTGTACGGTGATTTTTTTCTGCAATATTTTGCTGTCTTTTCTTGGATTTTCTGTTTGCACTTAGTTAAATATTCACTTTAAGATGTTTTTGTTCATGTTTTTTGTTTGTTGCGGTTGCACCCGATTCAAGAGCCGAATGGCTCACAGGGCTATACCTAATAAATGAACTTGAACTTGAACTATCCGTGCACTCCGCTGTGTATCCATCATGGGAGGTAATAGCCTGTGTTACTTTTGCAACGGCAATAAATTGCATTCCTGGTGGTCCAGTGCGGTGTGGGCCGTGCATGAAGAACTCGCGTGCTGCTAACTGTCGCACGAGTGGGATTTCATCCACAAGTCACAGCGATTTACAACTTTGGATGAGCAATTCAGATGATGCTCATCTCCAGTTGACAGCCTGTGGTGGTGGAAATTCTCCATTCCTATGGCAGAGGTGAGTCTATCCAGTCTATCCATAGGATAACCACCGTTGACTTTGCCACAAAGTGGTACTCATTTTATGGACCCCAGAGAGACGATGGGCCGAGTCAACACCAACCAGGGTTTGAACTCGCAACCATGACCTTTGCACTCTGTTGCTGCACCAGTGCAGCCAGATCGATGTTTTAGTCGCTGAGTGCATCCCCAAAGGCTTCAAATGCCAAGCGACGAGCAGCAAATAGCACCGTGAGAGTTGGAGTCGACACGAATTACGACGTTCCTTGACTTGAGCTTGGTGAAAAGCGTTGGGTTCAGGGACGATGGGAGGGAATTACAAAGTTGAGCAGTGCGAGGGAACAATCAAGAGGGAGAAGCGTTTGACGTGTATATATACAAAGCCAAGGACAAAGATCCCCTGTGTAGCCTTAACAAACCATTAGTGAGCACCTAAGAAGGCCGACACGGCGCACGAGGGGGTGGGTGGCCAGGAACACGCCTGGCCGCCTTTGTCTCCCCAGAGGCGATGTTTACACATCGCACCGGGTGCCCATTTGAGGCTGAGAGGGCCAGGACTGGTTCACATAATCATCACTGGTGTTGGCCATGAGCGCGGCGCAAAGCACTGTGCCATTGCTCCCCACTTGACACACACACACGCAAACACTATACCTGCATAAAATGATTAAATGCTGCTTATTAAATTGCAAGAAACGTGAAACCAAATAGACCAAGTATATTAATACGGCAGAGTAAAATTAGTTTTTGCTTTAGTCCAGGGACGCCGCATCCAAGGTTCACGAAACACATTTAATTTCTGACTAAGGATGGCATTACGCTGCTCATTGCAGATATTCCCCGATGAAACCAGTCACTTCATTTGGTTGTCGTCTGCATCTGTGCTTCTTCAGCTGTGGTTTATCGAAACACCTTGCTTGGTCCAAGCTTCGTGTCTCATTTGTGTCTATGGGTGGTGGTGCAGCGGTTGGCGCGCTGCGATGCAATCCCGGCGACCCGAGTTCGATTCCCGTTCGCGGACAACACCGGTGACGATTATCTGAATCACCCTGCGCCTCCCCTAGGATGACTCAGCCTCAAATGAGTACCTGGTTGCGATGTGTAAACATCGGCACTGGGGAGACAAAGGCGGCTGAGCGTGGTGCTGTCCATCCCCCCCCCCTTGTGTGCCGTGACGGCCTTCATCGGTGCTGGCTAACAGCACTTTCCCCAACAGTCTGTTTCAGGCTTAATGGGGGATCTTTGTCTTCATCTCATGCGTACATATTACATGTTGGGCACGCTGCACTTCGTGGATTTAAAATTGATTCACAATCGGGAAGCGTGCGCACATTGGCTTCTGCGCGTATGGACCCGCACACATTACATGCCAATGATAAGGTATCCCTGCGGCTAGTGGAGGGGAGGGCCCACAGCAAATGAAAAGGACAACACATGCGAGACGTTTGCGGTACACACGATGCTCAAGCTAATGAGTCGTTAAATTGTGACCGTTCAAGTAATGACAATTCACCAAAACAACGGGAGCGGCACTTTGTCAACTGCCGACTCAATATATTCCGTAATTGTATCAATGTACATGCATCTCATGCATGCATTGCGGTGATATGTAAAACGACAGCGCATCGGGATGTGGCTACGCTTCAAAGCAATATTAAATACAATTGGGAGTGTCAATTGTATTTGATGCAAAGTACGTTCACTTTGGGGGGGGGCACGTGCCCCCCCAATGATCCGATCGAAATCCCTAATTTCGATCGGATTATTGGAGTTTATTAGTAATAAATCGGCATTTTGCGACCCCCACTGCCACTGTGTAGCATATTATCACGTGCCAGGGACTTTATGAGATGATAGGACAATAGTCTGAGTCCATAATTGGCAATAAGTAACGGCAAAGCGGTTATAAGTGACTCACAGAATTGTGCGCAGTTGCGTATACAGGACACGACTTCCCTGAAGGCATTCACCTTCAGTGAGCGCGATGCCGATCACACAACGCGGTTCGAATTCAACCCTCAATCGATGGCTGCGCCATCGCCGTACACGCGAATACAAAGCAAGGGACAAGTCCTTACTTGCTAACAACTCCTCTATCATTTTTCATTGCTGAAGGGGTTTCCCCCCCTACCTGAAAATCCTGGCTCCGCCATTGAGTACGTATGTCATTCGATTCCACGTTGCGCTGTACGGCTAGCTGCACATTCGACACGCACGTATGCACGTACGTGATTAAAATAAAGTGCAGCAATAACGGCCACGAGTGGGTGTCTGTTGTCGGCATCTAATTAACCCCTTCCCTGCCTGGTTACGCGCGCCGCACCACCACCGCCCAATGTCACCACCGCCTAACGAAATCGTCCCCCACGCCTTCCACAGCAACAGGTGCCGAGGGGCGAGAGTGCGTCAGGCACCCCACCGGACGCGCCGCGCGCGTGACGCATGCACGAGATCCATGGGATGTCAGGTGCGCGCAGAGCATCATTCGTTCAGTCAACGGGAGGCAATGGGGCTGTTTCATCTCACTGGCGATGGCTGGTGTGGAAGGCGCGGGGGGTGGAGGAGGGACGGGAGGGGAGGGGTGTGGAGGATAGGGGGCGCGGGGGGGAGGGATCTTCAAAGTGTTACTCACCACTCGGTGCAGCATGCCCAGGACGCTCTTGTCACGGTTCTCATCCAGCCCACCGGCCCTCTCGCTCCGAATAGTTGGTGAGCTCCCATTGGAGGGGGAGCCCTCGCTGGTGGATGAGTTCCCATTGGTGGCTGAGTGTGGTCCATTGTGAGCGGCCACCTGAAATTGCCCCCAAAACAACGACGACAACATTGTCATCTTAAAATTATCATCATACATCAATCATACATCGTCCAATCATAATTATTGTTCTCCATTCACCATCACCATTTATCATCCATCCACCACCATAATCCATCCAGACATTATCTATCCGCAACATTGTTTATCCATCCTTTCAATAATATCATCGTCCTGCCATAACCCATCCATCATCTATTTATCACCGTCATCAATCTTCATCATCATCGTAAGCGTCGTCATCATGGTGATTGTCAGTCATTGTTATCACTATTTAATCTACAGTTCAACACTAAATTTCCTGTTAAATTCTCAATAACAGGGCGCTGATGTGCAGAATTGCACCTCTGCTTAAACGACCCAACTCTTGTTGTATATCTCTCTCTGTGTGTTTATTTTGTTGCACTTAGTTTAATGCGTTTCTGTTTGTCTGCTTGAAAATGTAAAGTGTTCAATGTAGGACTTTGAGATGCTTTTGTATTTAGATGCTTTATGAATTCAAAATTGTATTATTATCATCACAATCATCATCAATCCCGAATAATCAACATATTTGAACTAATCCATTATAATCACCGCCATCAATCACTAAACTCTGCCACCTACTCCATAAGTCATCCTTATCATCATACTGGTTTATGCCACCAGTATCACTGGCCACAGTTTAATACTTTTAAACGAGAGTAGTATAAGTGTGAGCACAGGGCGAGCTACCGACACGAGTCAATCTGGATTTATACAGCGTCCAAATTCAACACCGTCTCATGATGCTGCACGCACACACAAAACAACCACTAACACTTCTAGACCATCGATGTCACGATTTTAAACAACGTTTTTGATAAAATCGTGAAATCTTAACTCTATGCACACACAGGCCTCAGGAGATCACCCGGTAAAGCGCGACGCTTTCAGGGAAACACGTGGAGCCGTAGCTGACACGAAGCTACCCCAAGCCGGCACGTGAACGTACAAAGTAGACAATCGTCAAGACACCTGCTGGAATTGCATTTGTGTGCGCTATCTGGTGCGTCATTTCTCTTGAAGTGCCAACGGCATTGGGTTTCGAATGCTCACCGAAGCGTGAAAAGGCTACGTCATAACAAAGCAACAGCTGGGCCAAGCGACTCGCTGCAGACAAGCTGATGGAATAATGGGCCCAACGTCCCATTTGCAGGTCGGCTCACTCTACTACCCTGTGTGCAGCCCCCATTAATGCCCCATCCAACTGCCATCACCCCATCCCACCATCAACCAATCCCACCATCGACCAAATTTAACACATTCCTGCAGAGGGAGCTGGTAGGAACGTTGGGTTGCTCGGTCAATGGCCAGGGTCAACGGCGGCGTGGTGTATTCCGCAAATATGCCCGACTGTGAGGGCGGGCACAAGCCGGCGTGAGTAGGTTAAACGTTGAGTTGTATAAGGGCACCACGGGGTGACCAGCCCCTCCCCACCCAGCCCCACCCCTCCCACCCCCCACCCAGCCCCACCCTCCCCATCCAGCCTCTCCCCACCCTCCCCACCCAGCCCCTCCCCACCCTCCCCTCCCCACCCAGCCCCACCCTCCCCACCCAGCCCCTCCCCACCCAGCCTCACCCTCCCCACCCAGCCCCTCCCTGCACGACGGACGGACACAATAATCCCCTGTGGGCTGGTGTAACCAGGAGGTTCCTACCAGTAAAACTGAGTGAAAATGCCACCACTGTTTAAAATGACAGACACCTGCTGGAAGGTGACATTCAAAACTAATTACAGTGGATTTGATTTCATAAAAACATTTTACAAAAAGTTTGTTAATCAGATGAAGAATATTGGTTTAACAAAAAAAGCGTTTAAAGAGCCGCTCTTGTAAGGGTCTGAAGTGATTATTTGATTCTGCTGGTTTTGAATATAATTCTTGAAATGTGCCCTTATCCAATAACCATCAGAATAAGTGAAGTTGAATTAATAGCAGAATTGTCTTTGAACAATTCAAGAACAACATCCACTCACAATACCATTTTTTCCTGAATCGTGAACAATCTTTTAATAAAAAATTGAACATATATTCGAATCTTTCGTGACTGCAAGGAATTACTCTTTGGTTCTTTCGGTAAAGTCACATAGAAAGGAAATGTTCTATTATTATTTAAATTAAATATATTATTAGTATTATATTATTATTGTATGTCTTTCTACGTGACTTTACCGAAATAACCAAAGAGTGTAAGTTATATATTTAATTTATGACATCACGTGAAACGCTTTACAAAGGATGCTTTAAATACTCTGGTGGAAAATGACTCATGACTCAATTGAATGTTAACGAGGCAGCAAAGATGGGGACGACGCTGCTCAACAAAACACGAGCGCACACACCAACTTGCACAACCCTCACGAAGACAAAGATCCCCCGTATAGCCTCTAACAGACTGTTGGGGCAAGTGCTGTTAGCGAGCACCTATGAAGGCCGGCATGGCACGTGATGTTTACACATCGCACCAGGTGCTCATTTGAGGCCGAGTCGACCTAGGGGGAGGCCCAGGACCGATTCAGATAATCGTCACTGATGTTGACCGTGAGCGGGTCGCCGGGTTCGTAGCGCAGCGTAGCGCTAACTGCTAAATTACCGCTCCCACACAACCCTAACGCGGGCACGCTTGTTCACAGCAGCACAATTCACCGCAGATGTCCCAAACACGTGTACACATTTGCAGCGAACGGTTCGCGCGTGAAATAATGCGAGCTCGCACGTGCACATACAAAAGCGCGTTCGTGGACTCAAGCACGTACACACGCGCAAACGTGAACGCACGTATTTTAATCTTAAAAATAAATTAGATAGCGCACTGTGCAAGGCGCTTTGCACAGAATTAAGAGTGGTACATAGGAATACAACGGTGGAGACGAGGTGAATGAAATAGATGAGAGGAAGCAGTGGGGGGAGGGCAATGGCGTAGCCAGGATTTTCAGGTAGGGGGGGGGGCAACCCCTCCAGCAATGAAAATGATTGCAATCGAAACGTCGTATGCTAGTATTTTATTTTATTTATTATTTTATCTTGATACGTGACTTTACCGAAAGAACCAAAGAATAATTCCTGCAGTCACGAAAGCTACAAATTAAGTTTGAGTTGTTAGTAAGTAAGGACTTTTTATTCGACGCGTGTGCGGCGATGGCGCAGCCATCGATCGTGGGTCGAATTCGAACCGCGTTGTGTGATCGGCATCGCGCTCGCTGAAGGTGTGATACCTTCAGGGAAGTCGTGTACTGTATACACAATTCTATTAGTCACTTAAAACTGCTTTGCCGTTACTTATTGCCAATTATGTCCTATCATCTCATAGAGTCCATGGCACGTAATAATATGCTACACAGTGGCAGTGGGGGTCGCAAAATGCCGATTTATTACTAATAAACCCCAATGATCCGATCGAAATTAGGGATTTCGATCGGATCATTGGGGGGAGTACGTGCCACCCCCCCCCCCCCCACTGGCGGAGCCTGTGGGGGGGGGAGGGGCAAATCTGCGATGCGTGAATTCGGTGAAAGCGAAATTGATGACAGTAAATGATGACGACGAATGGATTGAATGAGTGGGGGAATGAAGGCCGTGTAATGAGAATGTGACGAGGTAAATGTAGGGGCGGCGGTTATGAGGGGGAGATTAAAGGGGTCGTGGGGTGAGCTCTGGAAAATCACCGAGTTTTGAGTGCGGAGCAGAAACTAGTGAGCAAAGGTGACTGTTTAATACATACACACACACACACGTGCACACAGGCACAGACATGCACACACGTACACACGGGAATGGCACACATATGCCTAATCAGTGCTATTAGTGAGCTCCTATTAAGGCCAGCAGGACATGCGGGGGGGAGGGGATGACCAGCACCACGCCCGGCACGCCTTTGTCTCCATAGTAAAGATCTTTACACATCACACCAGGTACTCATTTGAGGCTGAGTCGACCTAGGGGAGGCCTAGGACCGGTTTAGATAATCGTCATTGGTGGTGTTGGCGTTGAGCGGGAATCATTTTCGGGTCGCCGGGTTCGTAGTGCAAGCGTGCTAACCGCTCCCTAACAAACATACACACACACATGCACAAAGACAGATTCCCACCTGTATAATCATCAGAAAGTCGGGGCAAGTGCTGTTGGCGAGCACATGTTTTGACCAGAATGACACATGAGTGATGGTGTGGCCAGCACCGGGTGCCTCTGTCTCCCCAGAGCCGACGTTTATACACTGCAACTAGATATTGAGTTTAGGTTGAAGTCAACCTAGGGGGAGACCTAGGACTCTATGGGATATCACTCTCCACTGATGTTAGCCAAGGCCAAGCATCGAACCCAGGTCGCTGGGTTCGTGGCGCAGTTCTAAAACCACCACGCCACTGCTCCCCACATGCCCACACAGGAGGACAAAGGTCCCCCCATATACTATGAGACATCTCCTTTACCAGTGGCAATGACGCCTTTTTGCGTCATCTGGTCCAACACCAATGGAGACTAGGCTCTAAGAAAAGCTGTCTCGGGTGTGGACCAATCAACTTCAAGGACAGTGCATATCATTATCAGAGTTGTTTCTTTTTCTTTGCATTTTGACTGCTTGTGTTGTGGTTATTGCAAACATGATGCCTTGTATAAAGGTGTCAATTTTTGTACCAGTTGAAAGGGTAAAAACCTATTACTATCCCCCCATATAGTCTACACAGGCTGCGATATACAATGCTGCTGGCAAACATCTATGAAGACTGTCATCACGGCATTCAAGAGGGTGGTGTGCCCAGGACCACATTTAGCCAGCTTTGTCTCCCCAGCGCTGATGTTTACAAAGCACACATACACACACACACAAAACATGCACGTGCACACAAAGATAATCGTCACTGATGGTGGCTGTGAGCGGGAATCGAACCCAGATTGACAGGCTCATAGCGCAGTGCGCTTACCACTACACTACCGCTTCTCCCGTGCGCATACGCACGCACACACACGCACGCACACACGCACACAGTCAAAGACACTTGTATGGACGACACATTAATTATATATTAGTGAGACCCACTCGCCCGTGTGCAGCAGATTTTACATTGTGTTGTTTCTATTAAACGCTGATAAATATTCCGCGTGCAGCTCGCGCTCTTAGGAGCCAAGTGCTCTTGTGCTCAAGTGCAGAGTCCTGCTGTTGCCTGTTGACTCAGGAGTGGGTGGCACAGCAGTGACCTTCAGAGGAACCAATTTCTGTCGGCAGCCCCTCCAAGAAAATAAGGCCACGGCTCAGTCGACACGATGACTGAGTACTACCGCCAAGAAGGGCGAGTGGGCTTGGGCATCTGCAAGTCGCTAAGAGAGATCACGGCGCCGGTGGTCGAGACTAATGACGACGTGGCAGCCAGGACGTCCGGCACGAAGATGGAGTGATGGGATGAGCTCGTGCGAAAGGTGTGTGGGTGCTAGGTGGATTGTTACATTGCAGGAGCGTGGGAGAGGCCGACGGCATGGGGGGGGGGGGGGGGGCTTTGTCTAGCGGTGGAGAGATCTAAATTGAAAACTCATTTCTTTAGAAACTGCCTTTTTTGTGTTTATTTTTTGTTCCTTCCCTGGCACATCCGATTAGCACGGTTGGCTATGTACGGTGTGAAAGAATTTTGATTTAAAGCTTTCGTGACTGCAGGGATTCATCTTCTTGGTTCTTTCGGTAAAGTCACGTAGAAGGGAAGTAATAAAATAATAAAAATAAAACATCATAAAATATTTTATTATATTATTATATTATTTAATTATGTCTTATTTTTATTATTTTATTACTTCCCTTCTACGTGACTTTACCGAAAGAACCAAGAAGGTGTGAAAGAAATTCAACATACATACATAAATGATTCCTGTATTTTAGAGTTGCATTTATTGGCTAATGAAATAAGCATTTAATATATTATTGCTTCGATGCCAATTCCTAGACAGTCTGGGAATTGGCATCTGTATTCAGCTGGTAGGAATGGGTTTGTACCGAGATCTGGTACCAGTATTGTGTTGAACTTTAAACAGTGTACTGCACAGTTATGACAGACCTACACTGAGAAATATGCCTGGGTGTGGTCTTTGGTGGAAAAAGTGGCGACCTGAATCACTAATGACATTGTCAGTTTGGTCATGAGGCTGAGATAATCATGATACTTTAATTTTACATTATATAGCATCATTCATGCTCACAGCATCCCATAGCGCTGAGATGCCCTCTCGTTTGGACAAGGACGTGAATGGAGCAGAATCTGTTATCGTCGTCGACTTCCAATGTCCTACAGAGTAAAACTGCCGAGCTCAAGGAGGGCAGCATCAGAGCCGTCAGCGGTGGCAGCGAGAACTGCTTGTGCCCCCGTGAACTACGTGGCGGTCCTGCGCGCCGGAGTGAGACGGCATTTGGTAGCTTCGTTCCAATTCTCTCACCTCTGCTTTTGTCTTCTTGGCTTTGTCGCTGTCGTCCTCCTTTTTGGTCTGAGGGGACAATTTCACGAAAAGCCGGTGAGAGTGACGCCTATGCGATGGGACGTGTTTCCTGTACAATGCACGGCGTGATGGGACGTGTTTGATGTACAATGCGCGGTGTGATGGGTCGTGTCTTTTGTACAATGCGCGGTGTGATGAGACGTGTCTTTTGTACAATGCGCGGTGTGATGAGATGTGTTTGATGTACAATGCGCGGTGTGATGCTATGTGTTTGTTGTACAATGCGCAGTGTGATGGGACGTGTTTGTTGTTCCAGCAGGGGTGGGGAACCTTTTCCTTACTGAGCACCGAATAGTTTTTGCAAATACCTTTGCCAAGCTACTTCGACTATTGGCTGCCCATCGAAACGACGATTGCTGTCTTGGAAGCTTGGAGTTAGTTTATATTATCCTCTGTTTTATTGTTATTATTTTTCAAGGCATAATTGTTTTTTATGCATGAGAATTTATGGTTAAAAATACTGATCTGGTTGACACAGGGCCGCACGTTTTTAACAAACACCTTCATGTTATCCATTCATAACACATCATATAACGTGCGTGCCGATTGAACGTAGAGACTCCCTCGCATTGTCATAACTGACCGAGCTCACCACAATTAGACACGCAGGTTGAAAATATTCCGCCCTCGAGTACACGATCAGTGCAGCTAAGATCCTAGCAGTGACTGATAGATATTCTAGATTTGAAGCTTTCGTGACTGCAAGGATTCATACTGTTAGGTTTTTTTTGGTAAAGTCACGTAGGTAAAAAAAGGTAATTTCAATTATATATTTATTTATTTACTTATTTTCCCCCTATGTGACTTTACCGAAAAAAAAAAAACCTAACAGTATGATAGATATTGTTTGCGAGCCATTTCGAAGTGTTCGACCTCATGTAGCTGCAGGCCGTATGAAACGAAGTAGCGGACGTCAGGCTCCCCGCCGCTGCTGTGGAAGCGGGCGAGAGTGGTGCGCGATTCGAGTGGTGAGAAGTGGCGTGCGGTGGTGGTAGCGGTGGCGGTGGTGGCGACGGTGGTGGCGGTGCGTCGTTCCACTCACTATTTGAGAGAAGAACTTTGAGAAGGCGTTGTCTTTGCTCTCAGAGGGCTTTGCACCTCCTTCTGTTTTGTTGGCCACCTCCTTTGCCTGCTTAAGACGAAGACCCAACTTTGTACCACCATAAAACGAAATAATAGCCCATCAAACTCATTACGAATAAAATAAAATCCTCGAAGAGATTTCACCTTCAGGGTGCATTGTCCTTGAGTTGTGCGCCTTTTGGCGTCTTCTGATCCAACCCATATGAGACTAGGCTCTAAGGAAAGCTGTCTCGGGTGTGGACCAATCAACTTCAAGGACAGTGCACATTATCAGAGTTATGTTCTTTTGTTTGTATTATGACTGCAGGTATTGCGGTCTATGCAAACATGACTCCTTGCAAAAAGGTGTCAGTTTTGTTGCCAGATAGAAGGGTAAAGAACCAATTATCATATTTTTACTGGCAAATGAGGTCCCCATAGTGTAGATGCTTGCCCCGAGCTCTCATACTCTGATGGTGCATTGTCCTTGAGTTGTGCGCCTTTTGGCGTCTTCTGATCCAACCCATATGAGACTAGGCTCTAAGGAAAGCTGTCTCGGGTGTGGACCAATCAACTTCAAGGACAGTGCACATTATCAGAGTTATGTTCTTTTGTTTGTATTATGACTGCAGGTATTGCGGTCTATGCAAACATGACTCCTTGCAAAAAGGTGTCAGTTTTGTTGCCAGATAGAAGGGTAAAGAACCAATTATCATATTTTTACTGGCAAATGAGGTCCCCATAGTGTAGATGCTTGCCCCGAGCTCTCATACTCTGATGGTGCATTGTCCTTGAGTTGTGCGCCTTTTGGCGTCTTCTGATCCAACCCATATGAGACTAGGCTCTAAGGAAAGCTGTCTCGGGTGTGGACCAATCAACTTCAAGGACAGTGCACATTATCAGAGTTGTGTTCTTTTGTTTGTATTATGACTGCAGGTATTGCGGTCTATGCAAACATGACTCCTTGCAAAAAGGTGTCAGTTTTGTTGCCAGATAGAAGGGTAAAGAACCAATTATCATATTTTTACTGGCAAATGAGGTCCCCATAGTGTAGATGCTTGCCCCAAGCTCTCATACTCTGATGGTGCATTGTCCTTGAGTTGTGCGCCTTTTGGCGTCTTCTGATCCAACCCATATGAGACTAGGCTCTAAGGAAAGCTGTCTCGGGTATGGACCAATCAACTTCAAGGACAGTGCACATTATCAGAGTTATGTTCTTTTGTTTGTATTATGACTGCAGGTATTGCGGTCTATGCAAACATGACTCCTTGCAAAAAGGTGTCAGTTTTGTTGCCAGATAGAAGGGTAAAGAACCAATTATCATATTTTTACTGGCAAATGAGGTCCCCATAGTGTAGATGCTTGCCCCGAGCTCTCATACTCTGATGGTGCATTGTCCTTGAGTTGTGCGCCTTTTGGCGTCTTCTGATCCAACCCATATGAGACTAGGCTCTAAGGAAAGCTGTCTCGGGTGTGGACCAATCAACTTCAAGGACAGTGCACATTATCAGAGTTATGTTCTTTTGTTTGTATTATGACTGCAGGTATTGGGGTCTATGCAAACATGACTCCTTGCAAAAAGGTGTCAGTTTTGTTGCCAGATAGAAGGGTAAAGAACCAATTATCATATTTTTACTGGCAAATGAGGTCCCCATACAACAGACAGTACTTTAGTACATATCAGTACATATTCATATAATATTTAAAAATATTAAATTTAAATTAGTAATATATTTCTAACATGTAAACACAGACAAGGATATAACAAGTGACGTTATCATAAAGAATCGACAATTTAGCATCCTCTTTGTGATTTAGATTATAAAGTAACTGAGGGCGCTTTTGAAGCGATTGGAATTTCAGGTAATTTGGGGCTCCAAAAGAGAAGTGGCAGAGAACCATAGGATTAATGTTCCTTAGTACAGTGCAGTTTATGGTTGTAGGGTTATCTAAGAATGTGAGGGTTCTGGTCCTGAATAACCACTTTTGATAGCATGTGGGTGTGACGTTGCATTTCTCTCACCTGTGCTCCAGCCTTCTCTGCCTCACTGCCCGGCTCCACCTTCTTGGCCTGTCAGCACATTCATCGCAATTGTTTTACGACCTCGACTTTCCAAAGTCCAACTTACCTAAGCAAGACTGTTTCAATGACGGCGTAAGTGAGCGAGATTATTAATTCTAGTTGTGGTTGAGTAGTCCATTGTCATAGATGTGTGGGGTGTGTTGTCTGATTTTAATTATACAAGTCTTGAGTCATCCTTCTCCCCAGCAATACAATTAATCTTGGTTATTCACAATCACGCTTCGAGTTTTGAGAATCAATTATTTGGCTTGTTTTTTTACCATCTTGTGTGTATTGTTTAATTACAAATTTCCAGTCCAGTTCGTAGTTTTATTTCCTCCATTAGTCACATTAGTCACATTATAACATTAGAAAACCATTTTCATGAATTCTAAATAATAAATTCTCAAGTGCGCAATTTAACGCATGCAATATTAGCATACAAATAGATGTTAAGTGATGAATCGTTTTATCATGACACGTCTAATGTTCGTTTTTTTTCTTTCACAAGGAGGGGTATAGCACGGATGAGTCAATCCCACACAAAGCCTCCACTAGGCCCAATGTATAATAAAGGCAGTGGCCCTCACAGACCCTGCGCACTATTGTCACTTTCTCCTTGTCCAAACTCAGGGGCTTCACTGAGCCCTTAAGGCCCTAGATCTGCAGATAACCATCAGGATGTTCACTAACCATGTAATGGCTCATTTACCAAGTCCGAGTTTTACATCGACTATACGTGCATTCAATTGTCCACCTGGAAATGTTATTCTTTACATTTTTTGCAAATGACACGTAAATTATATGCTCATAATCAAGGTTTTTGGGTTAGATCGCGTAAGTATAAATGTGTCGGTGGGCTGAAGTAGTAACTATTTGGCGTTTTGTTTACATGGCAAATCCCTTACTGATTGTCCGTGTCGGGTGGTGAAGGGTTTTCGACACATTTATACTGACGCGATATAACCCACCTTTATTATGAATAATATTGGTTGCGAAAGACTACGTGTTAAACCAAATTATATGCTATTATTGCATTCATGCTAACGGTATGGACCAAACTTCGGCGATGAGAGAGAAAAAAGAAGAAACGATAAAATAGAGATGGTATTTAACAAAACAAATACATTGTGCTTGATTCGAATCGCTACTATTAATCGTGACAATTCATCAAATTGCTGAAAAGGTGGTGGGAGGCAAATTTGTCACATGCCCTGTTACCGTCAGTGTGAAGTCAGGGCATTGGTTTGGTGGGTTGCAGTGCATGGCGGTAATGTGAGTTGTTATCAGGTGATGTAACATGATGTAGTTGTGTCTTTGGCTGCTTAAGAGTTGTCCTTACCTCCGCTTTCGACTGCGTGTCCTTGCTGGGCTCATCAGTCTTCATGGACTGTGGGTACATTGGCAGGCTCAGTGAGGAGAAGAAGCATAAAAGGAGGCGCCAAATCTCATGTGTTCCTACAGCCAATGCCAAGATTCCATGAACTTTGTTCAAACTTCCATAACCACCGTGACCTCTGTGACAAAGTCACAGCCATAGTCACATTCGGTACGAAGCACCCTGTGTGCCGGTGAATGTCGAGGCCGGTGTCATGTGGACAGATATAGCGCCGGTTTTCGTTACCAGACGTCGGAAGAAATTGTTCACGGGATTCTGCTTGATCTCCGCCGTGGTGCTGGTCTCCACTTTCTCGCTCGTCTTTCCTCCGGCCTGCTCGCACAGACAACTCGCTTGGTCACACGCCTAAGCTCCGATTCTTCACTTTGGCAGAAAGGAAGTAACTGAATGGTGAAGAATGATTTAGGGTTCGTCCTCACCTCGGCTGCGACATCCGTCTTACTGTCCGGCTCTCCTTTCTTGGGCTGCTGACACAACCGCAAGGATTGTTTTAAAATCTCGGTTGGTTACGTCACACCTGAACATGCAGACGAACCTGTTCTCTTAACATAATTGCGGGGGGCTATTTGCAAATAGGAGGAAGATCACCCTTTTTAACGATAGTTATTATGAATCATAATTTCAACTTGTAATGCCCCGCACGGCATTCACACACTCTGGTGGTGTGCAGTGCTTGGCGATAATGCAAGTTAGTTATGGGTTGGTGTAACATGATGCAGTTGTGTCTTTGTCGGCTTAGGAATTGTCCTTACCTCCGCTTTCGACTGTGTGTCCTTGCTGGGTTCATCAGTCTTCATTGACTGTGGGTACATTGACAAGACATGGTGAGGAGGAGCTGTGTGTGTGTGTGTGCTGTGTGTGTGCTGTGTGTGTGTGTGTGCTGTGTGTGTGTGTGTGCTGTGTGTGTGATGTGAGTGCTGTGTGTGCTGTGTGTGTGTGCTGTGTGTGTGTGTCCTGTGTGTGTGCTGTGTGTGTGTGTGCTGTGTGCTGTGTGCTGTGTGTGTGTGTGCTGTGTGTGCTGTGTGCTGTGTGTGTGTGTGTGCTGTGTGTGTGCTGTGTGTGTGCTGTGTGTGTGCTGTGTGTGCTGTGTGTGTGTGTGTGTGCTGTGTGTGTGATGTGAGTGCTGTGTGTGCTGTGTGTGTGTGCTGTGTGTGTGTGTCCTGTGTGTGTGCTGTGTGTGTGTGTGTGCTGTGTGCTGTGTGTGTGCTGTGTGTGTGCTGTGTGTGTGCTGTGTGTGTGCTGTGTGTGTGTTGTGTGTGTGCTGTGTGTGGGGAGCGGTAGTGCAGCAGTTAGCATGCTGCACATTTGAACCCGGTGACCCGAGTTTGATTCCCGCTCATGGCCAATACCAGTTATGATTATGTGAACCAGTCCTTGGCCTCTCTTAGGTCGATTCAGCCTTAAATGAGTACCTGGTGTGGTGTCTAAAACATCACCACTGGGGAGACAAAGGCAGCTGGGAGTTGGGCTGGCCACCTATCCCCTTTGTATGCCGTGCCGGTCTTAATCGGTGCTCGCTAACAGCATTTGATCCAACAGTCTGTTTAAGGCTATATGGGAGATCTTTGTTTTTGGCGCTGTGTGTGGATACACCGGGAGACAGGGAGCCCGTGTGGGTGCTGAGGTGGCTATGCCTACAGCTACATCGTTGGCACAGTCATTCTTAGTCAAATTGGCAGCTGAGGTGTGGCAGTGCCCCATCTAGAATTAGCTTATGAAAATCAAATCAAATGTTTAACATCCACATAAATTAAAACCAAGTGGCTAATCTAAGTCATTTTGCATTAAAAAATATATTTTTAAACATATGACCACGCTGCTATCAGCACATTTTTTTTACGTAATAAAATAGGCGCCAAATCTAGCGTGTTCTTACGGCCAATGCTAAGATTCCACGAACTTTGTACAAATTCACGACTTCCGTAACCACCGTGACCTCCGTGACAAAGTCACAGCCATGGTCACGTGCGGTATGAAGCAGCCTGTGGGCCAGTGCAGGGAATGCCGAGGCCGGTGTCATGTGGGGAGACGTAGCGCCGGTTTCGTTACCAGCCGTCGGAAGAAATTGTTGACTGGATTCTGCTTGGTCTCCGCCGTGGTGCTGCTCTCCACTTTCTCGCTCGTATTGCCTCCGGCCTGCTCGCACAGACGACCCGCTCGGTCACACGCCTAAGCTCTGTCTCTTTACTGTGGCAGAAATAAAGTAAATGAATGGTAATGACGGATTTAGGGTTAGACCTCACCTCGGCTGCGACGTCTGCTTTTCTGCCCGGCTCCTCCTTTTTGGGCTGCTGACACAAGCGCAAGGATTGCGTTACAATCTCAGTTTGGCTACTTCACACCTAAATATACAGACGAATATCTTCTCTAAAACACAATTGCGGGGGCTATTTGCAAATCGTGGGAAGATTACCCCTTTTAAAAAATAGTTATAATCCGCACCTCCGATTAGTATAGTTGGCTACATACGGTGCAAAAGAAGTTCAACATACGTACATACAATGAATCATAATTTCAATTTGTAAAGCACCGCACAGTCATCCGCTCACTCTCGAAGAGAGAGACGGCTCTCCCCCCCCACCCACCCCAGCCCAGCTCTGTGGTCCTCTACACATTGAGGCGTTATTTATTTATCAGCCAATTCATTAATTGGCTAATTCATTATATTGTCCGATAATTATCGGTAGTTATTGGCCAATTAATGAATACTTACATGGAGATCGATTGTGCAAAATTACTAAACATTTTCATATTTCAAATGGACACCCGAAGGTTGCAACTGGTAATAGGATTTACGAAATTATAACTCCGTGTGTGTATTTTATGGTGATTTTAAGGGGTGACACTGAACATTTCCATATCCTGGCCACATCTTATAGCCGATGCCCTGATGGTCACCCATCCAAGTACAAACCAGGCTCAAATCTGCTTAGGTTCCGACATTTGACGGGATCCGGCACATTCCGGATGTTTTTGATCGTAGTCATCGTCACCATCGTCATAATTTAACATTCATATCACGCTCAATACAACACAATTCTAACATGAAGATGGTGCACAGCGAATTAATCTGTCAGTGGTTGAGTTCACGAGCGTATGACGTCAGCGTACAGGAGGCTTGCCGTTACCTGACACTCCAGCAGCAGTGTTTGCAAAGTTGTGCACATTGTGGCGTCGTGGTGTCATGTGAGATCACGAGTTTGTGGCGATGGTGGCATTTAGACATCGTGGCCTCACCTCAGCCTTGGCCTGCTTCTCCTTGGCAGAATTGTCGTCCTTTGTGGAGCTGTCGTCCTTGATGGACTGTGGACACATCGACAGGGTGTGTGAGGGGATGCTATTGTGCCGGTGTGCTTTGGAATGGACATGTATTGTATGAATATTTAATGTTACATTATTTAAAAGGGACATAAGCAATCCCAGCTGGGAGCAAGACCAGCTGTGCTTGTATCTGAAGTAGTACGCGGGCATCGGAAGTTGCCCATCGCCTTCCCTCCACCAGTGTAACATATGAATGTGTTGCTTATATCAGAACAGTGATTACATCAGGTGTGCTCGTATCCAGCTTTCACTGTTTATAATTGCGTTGCGTTATTTTTTTCCTCGCCGAAAAAATCTTTCTGCGAGTCTTGTTCACACAATGGGAGCGTCTAGTCTTTGCCGTATTTGTTTCCATCTCAGGGTTGCGGACAAATCTCTTGCAAAAAAAAAGAGGTCCCTCAATTGAGTCGGTACCCTCATTATGAATACGGGTCGTTATTCCGCCAATCGGTCCTTCTAAGGAGATGGTCTCGGTGGTGGTTTGAGAAGCGGGGTGCAAAAGCATGAGGGGAGCCGTGGGGTTCTTGTTACCAGCTCTCGGAAGAACTTGCTGACGGGATTCTGCTTGGTCTCCGCCGTGGTGCTACTCTCCACTTTCTCGCTCGTATTCCCTCCGGCCTGCTCGCACAGACGACCCGCTCAGTAACACGCCTGAGCTCTGTCTCTTTACTGTGGCAGAAAGGAAGTAAATGAATGGTAACGACTGATTTAGGGTTAGGCCTCACCTCGGCTGCGACGTCTGCCTTTCTGCCCGGCTCCTCTTTTTTGGGCTGCTGACACAAGCGCAAGGATTGCTTTAAAATCTCAGTTTGTCTACTTCACACCTAAATATACAGACGAATATCTTCTCTTAACACAATTGCGGGGGATATTTGCAAATCGTGGGAAGATTACCCCTTTTAAAAAATAGTTATAATCCGCACCTCCGATTAGTACAGTTGGCTACGTACGGTGCAAAAGAAGTTCATCATACGTACATACAATGAATCATAATTTCCACTTGTAAAGCACCGCACAGTTATTCGCTAACTCTCGAAGAGAGAGAGGGCTCTCCCCCCCCACCCACCCCAGCCCAGCTCTGTGGTCCTCTACACATTGAGGTGTTATTTATTTATCGGCCAATTCATTTATTGGCTAATTCATTATATTGGCCGATAATTATCGATAATTATCAGCCAATTAATGAATACTTACATGGAGATCGATTGTGCAAAATTACTAAACATTTTCATATTTTCAAATGGACACCCGAAGGTTGCAACTGGTAATAGGATTTACGAAATTATAACTCCGTGTGTGTATTTTATGGTGATTTTAAGGGGTGATACTGAACATTTCCATATCCTGGCCACATCTTATAGCCGATGCCCTGACGGTCACCCATCCAAGTACAAACCAGGCTCAAATCTGCTTAGGTTCCGACATTTGACGGGATCCGGCACATTCCGGATGTTTTTGATCGTAGTCATCGTCACCATCGTCATAATTTAACATTCATATCACGCTCAATACAACACAATTCTAACATGAAGATGGTGCACAGCGAATTAATCTGTCAGTGGTTGAGTTCACGAGCGTATGACGTCAGCGTACAGGAGGCTTGCCTTTACCTGACACTCCAGCAGCAGTGTTTGCAAAGTTGTGCACATTGTGGCGTCGTGGTGTCATGTGAGATCACGAGTTTGTGGCGATGGTGGCATTTAGACATCGGGGCCTCACCTCAGCCTTGGCCTGCTTCTCCTTGGCAGAATTGTCGTCCTTTGTGGAGCTGTCGTCCTTGATGGACTGTGGACACATCGACAGGGTGTGTGAGGGGATGCTATTGTGCCGGTGTGCTTTGGAATGGACATGTATTGTATGAATATTTAATGTTACATTATTTAAAAGGGACATAAGCAACCCCAGCTGGGAGCAAGACCAGCTGTGCTTGTATCTGAAGTAGTACGCGGGCATCGGAAGTTGCCCATCGCCTTCCCTCCACCAGTGTAATATATGAATGTGTTGCTTATATCAGAACAGTGATTACATCAGGTGTGCTCGTATCCAGCTTTCACTGTTTATAATTGCGTTGCGTTATTTTTTTCCTCGCCGAAAAAATCTTTCTGCGAGTCTTGTTCACACAATGGGAGCGTCTAGTTTTTGCCGTATTTGTTTCCATCTCAGGGTTGCGGACAAATCTCTTGCAAAAAAAAAAGAGGTCCCTCAATTGAGTCGGTACCCTCATTATGAATACGGGTCGTTATTCCGCCAATCGGTCCTTCTAAGGAGATGGTCTCGGTGGTGGTTTGAGAAGCGGGGTGCAAAAGCATGAGGGGAGCCGTGGGGTTCTTGTTACCAGCTCTCGGAAGAACTTGCTGACGGGATTCTGCTTGGTCTCCGCCGTGGTGCTGCTCTCCACTTTCTCGCTCGTATTCCCTCCGGCCTGCTCGCACAGACGACCCGCTCAGTAACACGCCTAAGCTCTGTCTCTTTACTGTGGCAGAAATAAAGTAAATGAATGGTAACGACTGATTTAGGGTTAGGCCTCACCTCGGCTGCGACGTCTGCCTTTCTGCCCGGCTCCTCTTTTTTGGGCTGCTGACACAAGCGCAAGGATTGCATTACAATCTCAGTTTGGCTACTTCACACCTAAATATACAGACGAATATCTTCTCTTAACACAATTGCGGGGGATATTTGCAAATCGTGGGACGATTACCCCTTTTAAAAAATAGTTATAATCCGCACCTCCGATTAGTACAGTTGGCTACGTACGGTGCAAAAGAAGTTCAACATACGTACATACAATGAATAATAATTTCCACTTGTAAAGCACCGCACAGTTATTCGCTAACTCTCGAAGAGAGAGAGGGCTCTCCCCCCCCACCCACCCCAGCCCAGCTCTGTGGTCCTCTACACATTGAGGTGTTATTTATTTATCGGCCAATTCATTTATTGGCTAATTCATTATATTGGCCGATAATTATCGATAATTATCGGCCAATTAATGAATACTTACATGGAGATCGATTGTGCAAAATTACTAAACATTTTCATATTTTCATATGGACACCCGAAGGTTGCAACTGGTAATAGGATTTACGAAATTATAACTCCGTGTGTGTATTTTATGGTGATTTTAAGGGGTGACACTGAACATTTCCATATCCTGGCCACATCTTATAGCCGACGCCCTGGCGGTCACCCATCCAAGTACAAACCAGGCTCAAATCTGCTTAGGTTCCGAGATTTGACGGGATCCGGCACATTCAGGGTGTTTTTGATCGTAGTTATCGTCACCATTGTCGTAATTTAACATTCATATCACGCTCAACACAACACAAGTCTAACATGAAGATGGTGCACAGCGAATTAATCTGTCAGCGGTTGAGTTCACGAGCGTATGACGTCAGTGTACAAGAAGCTTGCCTTTACCTGACACTCCAGCAGCAGTGTTTGCAAAGTTATGCACATTGTGGCGTCGTGGTGCCATGTGAGATCACGAGTTTGTGGCGATGGTGGCATTTAGACATCGTGGCCTCACCTCAGCCTTGGCCTGCTTCTCCTTGGCAGAATTGTCGTCCTTTGTGGAGCTGTCGTCCTTGATGGACTGTGGACACATCGACAGGGTGTGTGAGAGGATGCTCTTGTTCCAGTGTGCTTTGGAATGGACATGTATTGTATGAATATTTAATGTTACATTATTTATTTTTAATACCGTGAAAAAAAAGGGACATAAGCAACCCCCGCTGGGAGCAAGACCAGCTGTGCTTGTATCTGAAGTAGTGCGCGGGCATCGGAAGTTGCCCATCGTCTTCCCTCCACCAGTGTAACATATGAATGTGTTGCTTATATCAGAACAGTGTTTACATCAGGTGTGCTCGTATCCAGCTTCCACTGTTTATAATTGCGTTGCGTTATTTTTTTCCTCGCCGAAAAAAGCTTTCTGCGAGTCTTGTTCACACAATGGGAGCGTCTAGTCTTTGCCGTATTTGTTTCCATCTCAGGGTTGCGGACAAATCTCTTGCAAAAAAAAAAAGAGGTCCCTCAATTGAGTCGGTACCCTCATTACGAATACGGGTCGTTATTCTGCCAAGCGGTCCTTCTAAGGAGATGGTGTCGGTGGTGGTTTGAGAACCGGGGTGCAAAAGCACGAGGAGAGCCATGGGGGGCCTTGTTACCAGCTCTCGGAAGAACTTGCTGACGGGATTCTCCTTGGCCTCTGCGGAGGTTCGGCTCTCAACTGTCTCGCTCTTCTCACTCTTCTCCCCCTTCTGCGGAGGCCAACAAAGCAAAGTTCCCCCCTGCTTTAGCCTTCCTTAAGCACTGTGGGGACCAACATCGATGCACTGAGCAGTGGCCTGTTAAAGCCGGCACAGCTCACAAGGTGTTGGTGTGACCAGGCTCATGGCGTCGCTTCCTTCATCTCTCCACTTCTGAAGGTTGACCACAGGCACTCACTTTGTATGCCTTCAGAAGGCCCAATACGGGCTCAGATAGCATTATCCACTAGCAGTGCTCATGGCCACGGATATACAGTGCAACAGTCACCAATAGCAGAGATCCCAACATTTACGAATTGTACATTTTGTATCACACGCTTGGAATTAGACCGAGACAGAACGACCAACACGTAAACCGGAGAACATACGCAAATTGGAGACATCATATTGACTTCAAAAAAGTAAGCGGACTTGTGCAGGACATGTCGTTAAGAGTGATGATGATGATGATGGGCGGTGGACAACTCTCATGATGAAGTGGCAGCCAAAGGAGTGATCATGCCCAAGAGGACTTCCTCTGAGGAGATGGACTGATGACATGAGCTCATGGTTCAAGAGTTAGATGCCGTTGTTGCATCAAGCAACAATGAGGGATGGTGACAGCTTGTGAAGGCCTTCATCCAGCAGTAAAGCCAGCTGAGCTATCAGCTGATTGTTCAGAAGCGAACTGACCACACATGGAAGATTATTGTTTTTTTTTACCCTTTTATTCTTGCAACAAAACTGACACCTTTTTTACGAGGAGTCATGTTTGCATAGACCACAATACCTGCAGTCGGAATGCAAACAAAAAACATAACTCTGATAATGTATGCACTGTCCTTTAAGTTGATTAGTCCACACCCGAGACAGCTTTCCTTAGAGCCTAGTCTCACATGGTGTTGGACCAGATGACGCCAAAAGGCGCAGGTCTATGCAAACATGACTCCTCGTAAAAAAGGTGTCAGTTTTGTTGCCAGATAAAAGGGTAAAAAATACAATTATCATATTTTTTACTGGCAAATGAGGTTCCAATGGTGTAAACACACAAGGAAGCTCAACAAAGTGACTTATTGCGTGTAGGGTTACATCGTCAAGTCATTTAGAATACAACAGAATATTATTACAACAACAAAAACATATACGACAAATCTACAGACCTTATTTTACAATAATTTAATACGAATTCGAATATGGCTAAGAAAAGAAAGCGAAGTAGCTGAGAAATGGATTGTAATTTACCGAAAGGGAAAGTAACCAGATGTCATGAATTCTAAACAAATTGGCTTAAGGCAAAGGGAAAACAGGGAACAAACACACCGTCGAATGAAAAGCATTCACAACGACCAGATGACGCCTTTTGGCGTCATCTGGTCCAACCCATATGAGACTAGGCTCGAAGGAAAGCTGTCTCGGGTGTGGACCAATCAACTTCAAGGACAGTGCACATTATCAGAGTTATGTCTTTTGTTTGTATTTATGACTGCAGGTATTGCGGTCTATGCAAACATGACTCCTTGCAAAAAGGTGTCAGTTTTGTTGCCAGATAGAAGGGTAAAGAACCAATTATCATATTTTTACTGGCAAATGAGGTCCCCATAGTGTAGCATTCACAACGGCTTTCGTCAAGCTTACTCACCAACATTTTCTCCAAGCTCAGCTTCTGGTCACTATTAACTTTAGGCAGTGATGGAGATACAACGTAGCGCACGGACTCAAGAAGCACCAGTCGAACATGATGCCAAACCGAAATCAGTAATTAGCGCGTGCTCGGTACGGTGAGAATGAGTACCCACCTCGGCTTTAGGCGGCTCCTCCTTGCTGGGATCGTCCTCCTTCTTGGACTGCGGAAACAGTGTGCGTTGAGAGTGGGTCTGAGTGGTGGTCAAGTGTTAGTAAAGCTGTTCGGAGATAGACTGGGTGGAGATCTACGTGTTGGTGAGATGTTGAAAAGTGGTCTGAGGTGTGACCAAGTGTTGGTGAGATGTTAAGATCAATGAATGATGGTGTCAAGATGTTGAGAGACGGTTTGAGTGATGGTCCCTGTGACCGAGATGTTGAGAGACAGTTTGAGCGGTGGTCTACGAGGTGGTGAGTCATTGCGGGAAGGATTGAGTGGCAGTCAGTGTGGCAGTGAGGCGGTGAGCAGGCATGAGATGTATGTGGTGGAGAAGTACGGACTCGGTCACCATTTGCGTGAAGAACTTTCTCAAGGGGTTCTCCTTGCTGTCGGCAGAGGCGGTGCTCACCACGTCCTTCTCGCTCGCTTTCTCTTCTGCCTGCTCAACCAAGACACGCAACCACATCGGCAACTCCACGTTACTCCTCAAACTCGTACATTTCATGGGGCAGAGTCAATTCCACTGGCAGTCCGTGGTTTGCCGAGCTACGGCTCGTGGAGAGATGAGGCTTTTGCGAGATGTAAAGAGACACAAAATACCGAGACAAAAGGGAGATAAACAAGAGGCAGAGATGGGAATGCTGGAGGCACCAGGTACGGATTAGAGGGCGCGTGGACAGATGTTATGACCAGGGCCGGATTACGACACGCTGGGGCCCTGGTGAAAAAAAAAATAGTCTAGCTTAGCACGGATGGCTACGTACGGTGCAAAAGAAGTTCAACATACATACACACAAATGCCACATTCTCCGGCTTATAAGACGGAAAGGAAAGCCGCATCCCATAATTTTGCTTTAAAATACATCGGCGGGGTGTTGGGGGCGGGAGTAGAAAGTGCTTGTATTGTAATCTGGAGAATACGGTACACTGTATTTATACCAGCAAGTGCCGCCGTCTGCAAAACGTAATTTCTGTTCACTGCCGGCGAGTTCTTTGTGTCCCAGAACACCGGCGCCTCGGCACGGAACCGCAGAGAGGCCTTGCTCAACGGCGTGAGGCGCACTGGTGGGCGGTGTTAGGGGTTCCTAATCTCACACCTCCACGTCTCGAAGCGAGCGGAGGGGGTGGGGAGGTTGCGGGGTTGGTGGAGTGGCATTGATTAGAGCCGTTTGAACAACGTGCAGAATAACAGAGGAAATGCGGATGAAGCAGTTGAATTCCCGGCGTCCCAAGTTTCCCAGCATTTGCCAGATGTGCCTGCGTGTTCTAGATTTGAAGCTTTCGTGACTGCAAGGATTCATACTCTTAGTTCTTTCAGTAAAGTCACGTAGGTAAAAAATGAAATTAAAATTAATAAAAATAAAATAATAAAATCACGACGTCACAGCCAGATTTGCTGCTTGATGCAGCAAATCTGGCTGATGACGGAGACTTGTGTTGCCTCCGAAACGTCGTGATTTTATTATTTTATTAATTTTAATTTTATTTTTTACCTACGTGACTTTACCGAAAGAACTAAGAAGGTAACCGAAAAGGCATGCACGATCTTATAGATATAAAAAAAAATATTATAATTAGGCATTTGACAGTTGACGTTCACCAACCTGCACTGACATGATTGGTGGGTGTGGGGAGGCCCTAATCCAGCAGTGGATTGATAAATGCACATGTAGCCATTCATCCTGAAACCCAGTGCCCTTTCCCAGAGATTCAACGTGTTGTCATGATTCAGAATCAATGTGTTTCGTCCATTTATAGTATAATTTGGAATGTTTTGTTAGATGCATTTGCATATGTGTCAGGCGACAATGCAATATTGTTTATTTACATATTTTTTTTTACCAGGTAAGGCCCACTGAGCTATATAGCTCTTTTTTTCAGAAGCGACCTGGCCACAAATGATAGCTCAACGAAGTGGCTTATCATGTGGAAATGTAAAGCAACCATATACTCTAAATGTATATTTCTAAATCTAGGGGGAGAACACCGGAGGACCTGGAGAAAAATCCATGCGGCCACGGGGAGAACACACAAACTCCAAATATACATATTCTTGGTTCTTTCAGTAAAGTCACGTAGAAGGGAAATAATAAAATAATATAAATATAAAACAATAAAAATTATCACGACGTTTCGACTGCAACACAAGCAATCATCATCAGGTGTGAAATCCACAGCAATCATCATCAGGTGTGAAATCCACAGCAATAAAATTGGATTTCACACCTGATGACGATTGCTTGTGTTGCAGTCGAAACGTCGTGAGAATTTTTATTGTTTTATATTTATATTATTTTATTGTTTCCCTTCTACGTGACTTTACCGAAAGAACCAAGAATATGAATCCCTGCAGTCACGAAAGCTTTAAATCCAAATATACAGGCAAGGGAGTTAACGCCTCACCACCACGTGTGTATAAGGCGCAGCAGAACGAACAATGAGCTTCAGAGTGCCATATGCATGATTCGATTCATGTATTGAGAGTGTAAATATTGCATTTAATCAATTAAATGAGTCGTCATTACGTGCTTTATAATGCCCTTTACGAAGGAAACCCTCACTGAATCTTAACACTATTTTTTAAGAGGGTCCTGCTTTGGAATATTTGGCAAATTATATCCATCTTCTTGGTTCTTTCGGTAAAGTCACGTAGAATGGAAATAATAAAGGAATAAAATTAAAACATAATAAAAAAGGAAAAATGTTTTATTATATTATTTTATTTTATTATGTTTTAGTTTTATTATTTTATTATTTCCATTCTACGTGACTTTACCGAAAGAACCAAGAAGATGAATCCCTGCAGTCACAAAAGCTTTAAATCGAAAATTATATTAAGTGAGTGTTCGGCTGGCGGGAGGGAATCGGAATACCTGGTTAAAATACACACACACACACGCTCACAACTCCCACACAGATAGATTCAGGAACACATGTCTGCATTGCCACATCCTGGCTACCTCTAAGTAATAAAGTCATTTCATGGAAACATCATTTATTTGTTTGGCTTTGTTCTTTCGAGACTGAAGGAGATTGATGAACGTTGAAAGGTAAAGAGAAGGCGGTGGCAGGTGGAGGCCGGGGTTTGAGAAATGCCGGAGTAAATAATTGTGCGGGCAAAGTACCTCTTCCAGGGGGCATTTCACCTTCTTTTCTTATTTATTTCCTGATTAAATAATAGTATTTTAGAAAATCGAAAAAGAAAACGCACCCCCTCGCACAACAGGAAATAAAATATCACTCGCGGGAGCTTGCAGTAGTTTTTTTTTCTAAAGGCCAAAAGCATTCAATTTTTCCACAATAGCTATTTGGAATTTGAAATATATACTCTTTTACATATATATATACGCGAATGCTTTCATGGTAGGCAACAGGCAAAGCCGGTATAAGTGGTATTTTGTGCAAAGGTTACAAACTCAAGATGCCTCGAACACCGGGAGTCACGACCCTGTGTGCATGAGTGCAGACGATCATGACGACGATATTACATTTTTCCAACGCGGAATTAGACTGTTTGTAAATTGATCTTCTTTCGCACCATACATAGCCAACTGTGCCAATGGGAAGTTTGATCAGCACGGAGAATTTGACTTTGAACAAACATCGCAATATAGGACCCCAGAGCTTGGGAAATTGTTGCCGCTGGTTTCAGGCCGCCCTCCCGCGTGTCTCTGGTTTCCCCGCGAAAGCTGTGCACGTTACAAATTCCACGGCGTTTTGAGAAGACTAAACACACATAATTAGCATTGTTGACGTCTTCCTCCACTAATATCACACACTATCCTCTTTTCCAGTTAAATACTTCGTCAAATATAAACAACACCTCATTTATGAAATGCAGTAATTAACACTCTCTATATTATGATCGTATAGCGACTCCGAAGTCAGTGTCTGACATTAGACCTTAATTATGACTTCACCAGTTATTCACTGTATACGATCACTACAGCAACAACCGTTCCATTATTGTCATCTGATAGGGTTTGGCGGCGCCTTTCTCGATCGTAACTTTTTTATTAATTCCAGCGACAAACAAAGAAAGGGAGTTGCACTGCAGGCGTGGAGTGGAAGAGGTCATGCGGCAGTTTGACCTCCGCTCACCTCTCCCCCCGCCCGCCACCCCCTATTGCTCAGAACACGTCCGCAACCCAAAGAATCACTCCCCCGCATGAGTCTTTGTGGGTTAGTGAGCAGCCGCGTCGTCACATCCGCAGGGGCCCGGTCTAAGCTGATGAGATGTACACTTCCCGTGCTGCCGCTGCGAAAATCCTCCGTGATTGTACGGGAGGCCGAGCAAACAAACCCAAGCGGGCAGCCGCTTCCTCGTCAATCCTAACGAAGCGTTAAATTTATTTTACACTTTTATTTATTTTAATTCGTCCACAATATTCTCATTAATGTTCTGTGATTTGAAGAAAGAAAGAAAAAATGATGACAGTGCCCCGTTTTTTCGCGTGGGACTTTTTCTCGCGGGGAGTTCGTGCCGCAGTGCGGCGTCGGAAGCCAAAGGGGGCGAGGTGACGGGTCCGCGTGCCGCTCGTCAAAAGAAGAAAACAAATGTTGACGCTCGGCGATGCGTGGCGTGCACGCCGTCGTCGCAATTGCTGACCCTCAAAATGGCCCTCTTCGCGCAAATTTGTGCCGGCCCGCATGCTCGCGTGCATTCGTTCGTACGCTCGTCTAGAAATCGTCTTATTACCCAGCGGCAGATTTGGCCGAGATGCCATCGTGGCTCAGGACATGAGGTTCTTGCCCACGGATAGATAGGTGGCATTACTCATTTGTTTTGCAATTTATTTGGGGAGTAATTTCCAATTTTTGTGGATTTTGGCGATGGCCCAAGTACACAGCGGTCCATATTTTGTGAAATATCTCACGGAGATCTAAATCAGCTACGCGACGTGCAGTGGAGTTTCATGGGTGGCACGATTACTAGGTGACCCACTGAACTCTTGCATCTGGCGTGGTGGTAGTCAACATAACCAGCGTAGCTATCGGGCCACACCGAATAAATGCATTTGACTATCCACTGGTGTGTAAAAGGCAGGCGCCTATGGTTATTAATGTGCCATTTCATTGGCAGACTGTGTGGCGTTATCTTGGTGTGTTCTGGGACTGTTTTGTTGTTGTTTTGTGCCTTGCCCAAGCTTGATAATTCGGACTTAAATAAAAAAAGATGTCAGTGAGTTGCTTACTCTTTTCTCTCTTTTGCATTGTTTGCTGTTGTAACTTGCTGACCCGCCCATATCGGACATCTGCAAAAAAGAGCTTCATAGCTCATCGGATTCCTCCTCCAGCAGTCTAAGTAAAATATTACGACTACCATTTGATTGTCGGCGGGCGAGAGGGGGAGTTTTTATCTTGGGAATTAATTTCAACGCGTTTTTGCGAGGTTCCACCGCCGAGTTGCTCGCCCAGATCACACGCACTGCTCGCACAACTCGCACAACTCGGTACTGTACTCACAAAGCAATTAGGGCTGTCATCGCTGCACAGTGTTGCGCTGCGACAATTTACGCCGTAATGACTCAATTATTGCTCGGGTGTTTGTGAAATGCATTGCAAAGATTAGCCAGAAAACTGCCACGGATGGGGCCGATTCGGCTACTCTCCATTACGGAAGATCATAACCGCGTGACATTCCGTTGACGCTGTAATGGTTAGCAATCGGGACTTGCAAATCAGAGATCGGCGGTTTGATTCGATCTCCCGGCGTCGTATTTTAAACAATGGGGGAAAGTGTCTTAAATCCCCATCCACCTCTCCCCGTCTCTGTCCACCGAGCATTATACACGGGCACTACCACAGTCAGCTGGCCGGCAGGTCACGGACGGTGGGGCAAAGCGTGGGTACACTCCCCCCTTCACCTCTTCAAAAATGTCTGGCCTGCATGGAGGAGTAGGCCAAAAATGTCCCTCTGGAGCTCCCTCTAAAGACGGTCCTTTCGACAGCAGCGGTGTGTGCAAGCAATTGCAGGGCTGTGCCCTTTACCCCTCTTCTGTTCTCTCGACGCATCCAATTCAACGCACAGAGTCAAACACTTTCCCACTTAGCCAGAGAGACTTCTGCATTGGGGCAATTAGCAAGAACCTTTGTTAAGGCTGGTGCGGCGCACAAGGCAATCCCAGGTCAGGTTACGATATAAATAAGAAAAACAAATGGACACACATATGTGCTGACAAAAGATACCATCTCATAAACTGTTGTGGCAAGTTTTGTTAGCGAGCGCCTGTTTAGGTTGGCACATGTGGTGGTGTCTGAGCACCACACGGGGCTGCCTTTGTCTCCCCTGTGCTGGTGTTTACACCTAGTTAAGGTGGATTCGGCCTAGGTGAGGCGCAGGACCGATCAGATATCCTTCACCACTCATGTGAGCCATGGCCGGGAATCAAACCCCTTTTGCGGGGCTCAGCGCAATTCGCGAACCACTTTGTCACCACTCCCCCCACACACACACACACCTCTGTATATGAGTAAGCCCAGGCTGGGAATTGAACTCAGTTTGCCTACTTAACAGTGCAGTGTGCCAATCAGTGTGCTTTCGAGTGTGCTTACCACTGCTGCTCAGTATGCACACGCACACGCACGTACACAAGTTTGCACATTCCCGTACGTACGTAGGTACAAATGTGCTTACATATATAAACCATAATGTTTGCTTATTTCTGGAACAATTTATCTACCTCCCCACAATGGACTTTATTGCAAAATAATTCCTGAATCTGCAAAAATACGCAGGCTTATGAATGCTGTCAGAGCACACCGCTTGAATGCTCCCATATGGGCGGCAGTGTGGATTTAATAAGGGCCATGATAATGATAAGTGGACATGACTTGCAGTCCAATATTAAAACGCTCTGTGTTTCTGCGAAAGCCTGGAATATCATCAGCGACGAAGCCCAAAAGCGGCCAACCGTCATTTACAAGAACAATGAAGAAGAGCCGTGCATATGCATGGCTTCCGCAACGCGTTCCAACGTGCATTTGTCCTCGGAAGTACTTAACGCGATGCCATCGCCTCTTGATTAATGCAACAACGACAGCAACAATTGCATAAATAACACTGCCTTCTAAAATAAAATACAAAGTATATAGTAGACTGACGTTTTGGGAACTGGCCTTTCTTCAGAGCACACAGAGTAGGCCAGAGAGATAGAGTGCTGTGAAGAAGGGTCATTATTGCCTGAAATGTTGCCTTTTTCTTTTTTGTCAGCTCACAGCGTTATTAACAAATGTGATGAGTTTTTTGTTGTTAATTGTGCTTGTCCACCACTGCCAACGCAGCAGCAGCATCGAGAGGTATCATGACCCCCCTGGACAGAGTGAACGCAAATACCGCTTTCATCCTTCATCGAAAAGCATTCAAAGAACAATGCTTTCTGCTTCCAGGTACTGCCCCACCTGCAATAGGCAGCAGATAAAAAAAAATCCTCAACAGGGACTTAAACTAACTTTCTCCGACAGCGTTTAATTTGTATCGGCCCGAAGCAGCCTTTGGCGGTGAGGCTTTGCTTCGGGGCAGCACGTGGCCCTGATGAGTAATTTCGTTTATGGGCGCCCCGCAATTGGCTTTCCCTAATTATTGGATGAAAAGGCCTTGCAGTACTGCAAAGGAACAGAGCGTTATTGTTGCCTCTGTGAGTGTGTGTGTGCGCTGGTGTGTGCGTGTGTTTGTTTCTTGTGTGTGTGTTTCTTATGTATCCCCGTGAGAGTGGCTGCGTGATTAGGACACCGCGCTCTGATTTCAACGAACCGAATTCAATTCCTGGCACGACGCATAACAAAAGTTTTTTTCTGAAATATAGAATCTGAATTTGCTCTGGGCCTCCGTTGGGTCAACTCAGCCGAAAATAAGTAATGCATCTGCTTAGGGCTGGATTAAGGTTGATGGGGGCCCGGGACTGTAACAGAGCTTTTGAGGATTTTAACTGTCTCTTAAACTTATTACGTTTATAGAGTTTTACCACCACGCATACTCGATGCCAAACACCTCATGGTTATTCCTCACCTCCGATTAGTACGGTTGGCTATGTATGGTGCGAAAGAAGTTCAACATACATATATGCTTATTTCAATTATTGTGTTTAAATGTGATATATCAAGGCACATTACTGGTAAAATTACACATGGTGACGTTACACGGCCTAATTACCAAAATACATATATAGGCTGCATTACAGTGCTAGAGTAGTACATTTCAAACTAAACGAATTGATTTTACCAGGTAAGGCTCACTGAGCCATATAACTCTTTTTCAGAAGCGACCTGCCCACAAATGATAGTCCGACAAAGTGGAGGAACGGAGGGGGGAGCGGGGAAAGAGGGGGGGGGCTGCTCCCGCGAGGAACCCCCTGCCTTAATCTGACTGTGCACCGGGCACAATGTGAACAACGCCACTGGGGAAACCACGACGACAGTGACGTGTGAACCAGGCCCAAAAATCCCCTTGTCTACTGTGCCAGCCTTAATAGGCGCTCACTAACAAGACACTTCCCTGGCAATCAGCAAGGGCGAATGAGGGGGAATGATTCGTCTCCGTGTGCAATTCAAACGCGTGTGCGCCGTGCGAGTGCGAGCTGCTCGCTATGGGCAGCGTATCTCATTGCACACATTTTCAAGTGTAATGAATTTAAATGTGAATGCACCAGAACGAGGTGCGTTGTCAAAGGGGACTGTGTGTGTGTGTGTGCCTCGGTGCTGTGACATTTTGATATGACCAAAGCAGGTGCCAATGCACACGTAGCTGTACACAGTATGCGTTTTGCAAATTTGCCAAAAAATCGTTTGCCCTTTGTCAATCCACTGCTGGATGAAGGTCCCCCCCCCCCCCCCATGCTCGGTTTGTTGTGGAGGTTGTTTGCCCATACTTCACCGTACTGGTCAGTGCGGGTTGATAAAGCTCGTAAGTTGTGTTAGCTATGGCCGGGAATCGAATTCAGATTGCCTGGTTCCTATCGCAGGCGTGGAAACCACTGCACAAGCCCACTCCTCTCAGCATCTCAATAACTCTACATTAATCTACCCAACACTCACCACCCGTGAATCCTCTTATTAAATGTCAACGTGCGCTAATCTAAATTTACGTAATTGAATAAGCACATAAATTAGCTTCATTCAAGTTTTATAAACTCATTATTGGATTTTTTTCTTTTCCTGTCTCCCCTGACGAGATGTGACAACCACCCGTGGTGCTTCGTGAATGGGTAATGGAATTTTCTTGGGAAAAAAATGCAAAGCGCTGCTCACAGGCGTGTAACAACGTGTTGATTAATCGATTATTATCTTTTTTTGTCAGTAGAGTCCTGCCAACTATTGACAGGAGGGGAAGGCGCTGCTCCAGTGTGTGATCCAACTTAAGTCATTTGCAGGAATTCTTCTTCAGAATTGGGATGTTTTGGCCAATACCAGTCACTTTGTATGTTTGTTGGTTTCTGTTTGTTTTTCTTGCTATGGGAGGAAAACAGAGATCCCGGAGGAAGCCCATGCAGAACAGGGGGAGAAGATACAAACTCCACACATAAATGGTGCCCCAGTTGGGAATCGAACCCAGGGACGTATTGCTGGGTGGCACGTCTTGTCCTTCCCCCGCACCTCCGATTGGCACGGTTGGCTATGTACGGTGTGAAAGAAGCTCAACATTCATATATACAAGCTTTACCACTGCGCCACCATGCTGCCCCATGATTTGGGCAGCATGGTGGCACATTGATTTGGGCAGCATGCTGTCCAATGATTTGGGCGGCATGATGGCACAATGATTTGGGCAGCACGCTAGCACAATTATTCGGGCAGCATGGTGGCGGAACAGAAAGAAGGAAATTAAACTATGGTGAGCATGAACGAAGTGCATGGAATAGGTGGTTCACGGCGGATGCGCCGTGCACACACACACACAGAGCAAGGCTGTGTGATTGCGAGCGTAGAGAGGGCTGGTGGAGGGGTAGGGGGCGAAAGGTGGGGGGAGGTGCTCGCGGGGAGATAAGTACCGATCCATCAGCCGATCCCGCATCCTTCACGCCTGCTGGTGCTGCTCGGTTCTTGGGCTCTGATGGAGAACCCTAGCAGAGGAAATGACAAAGATCCAACCGTATAGCTCACACAGACTGCTGGGGCGAGTGCTGTTGGTCAGTGCCTATTATGACCAGAAAAAAACACACGAGTGATGGCGTGGCGAGAACCACATTCCCTTTGTCTCCTTACTGCACTCGACTTACTGCACTCGATACTCGTTTAAGGTTGAGTCAGCCTAGGGGAGACCCACGACCGTTTGGACATCACTCTCCTCTGATGCTCGCCATGGCTGGGAATCGAATCCAGTGTTAAAAGTTTGTAGCACGATGTGCTAACCACTCCGCCACGGCTACACATGCACACACGCACACCTTTGTAACGTATATACACACGCATGAACACGCACAAATACAAGCACAAACACGTGCACATATTAGCTGTGTACAGGTACACAAAAAGCCACGCAGAGCCTTGTTCAGTGCACAAATTCTGTTAGTGAGCACCCATTAAGGAACAAAAAACCCCAACACATTCATCAACAGTACTGCCGTTAAAGTTAAAACTTCATAATAGGCAACGTTCCGGCCAACAGCCCTTCTTCACGGCACATTTGCTCTTAAGAATGGCGATCGCCCTTCTGCTGCCCACGCACCACGCACCACCACCACCGCCGACGCAGGCGTATATGGCATTTTTGCAGGAGTATCGTGGCCAGCCAACGCACACACGCCCAGCTGTGCTTGTCTCCCAGAGTGCTAATGCTGAGCACAACACAACAGGTATTCACTACAGGCCGAGTAGATCTAGCTGAGGCCCAGCCCAGTATCTAACAATTGCTCCTGTCAATTAACTCTGCTAAAAGCGGTCGATTCGTTTTTTGCTGTATTCTTTCCAGCACAAACACCAAGTGCATTCTACGGCGGAATCGGGAACTGGCAGCCGGAGGAGGATCAGTGTTGTTTTCATTCGCTCATTCGTTCACTCGCTCCCTGGCTAGCTAGCTCATTCATTTATGAATGAAAGCCTTCCATGAGCATTTCTCAAATTCCGACCCTGCCACCCCTCCCATGACCCAGTGTTCCACATCGAACAATCAACACGCACATTAGCACAGTGCTGAGCGCCTCATTTGCATGTGAATTGAGTGGCTTTGTAAACAAAAGGAACCTGGAGGGTTATAGTCGTGGTGGTGGTGAGGGCGGTGGGGGTGGGTACGGTCAGGAGGGAGGATGACATTACTGTGGTTGTGAGAAGCTACTGCCTGAAATGACCTTTTCATGCCGTGCCTCTATGGTGGACCGCAATCGTCCGACTGCAGCGCCACGAAGAGTTGAGTTTAAAGATTTGAATAAGTGAACAGTAGAAAGACAACGTGCAGCTGAAGCAATTGGTCAGCGTGATTGATTGTCAATTCCGACCAGAGGCAATTTTGAAAACTAATTTCTTTAGAACTATATTCTTTGGGTCTTTCGGTAAAGCCACGTCGATAGGAAAAATAATAATAATAACAATATCACGACGTTGCGATCGCAACACAAGCAATCGTCATCAGGTGAAAAAGAGGGGGAAAGCTGCTGAGGCAGGCTGTTTATAAAGGTTTAGAGATGGGCGGGGCAGATAATGTTAATGTAGGAGAGGTCTCCGTACCCGGCAGTAGGTCTACACCAATCAAAGAGTTATTTACAAAGGTTTAGAGATGGGCGGGGCAGCTAATGTTAATGTAGGGGAGGTCTCCGTACCCGGCAGTAGGTCTACACCAATCAAAGAGTTATTTACAAAGGTTTAGAGACTGCTTGTAAATGTCGGATAAAGCTAGGAAAGAGCCATCGCCACATGGAGGTGGAAAAGGATGGCAAGCCGCCATGTACGAATACAAGCTAACGGTGGCTGTGTTTAGTTCTCACGTTTACAGTGTAAGCGGAATGATGGGCAATCAAAGATGGATCGGTGAATCGGTTAGACGATTTATTCCGCAAACCAATTGTTTATAAAAACTAATGGACGAATTAGGCTTTAAAGTTTCCACAGCCTTTAAAATCTATATTTCACTTTATTTAGGTGTGACTGCATGCGTGACTGCATAAGCAGTTGTTGCTAAAGTCACCCTCCTTACATCCGGCCTGTAGACTGCTGCACATTTGCTGGAATCAGGAACTAGCGACGAAGTCACGCATGCAGTCGCACTCGCGTAAAGTGTAAACATGGGAAATGTACTGACTACCTGCGATATTATTTCCAGACAATTCTGTTGGGAATCATCCCATTTCTTTGTTTAACCTTTTTTTCCTGCTCCCGTAGTCTGCCCTGAAAATCCCCAGACCTCCCTTCTCCCGCTCTAAACACCCTTTCACCGTTGCGTGGCTTAGGCGACCAGGTGGCTCAGAAATCAAAGCACTTCCTCTTTTGTATGGCTTTTGTAGAATGCAGAACAACAACTACAATCTCACATTCAGTTGGTCAAGCTAGCGAACCGCGTCAGGAGCAGTGGAGTGTATCGCTGTGATGTCTCCGTATTTATGGATTTGGCATTGCAGCGTCGAAGCACTGAGACTGGTAGTCCTGAACTCTTGGGTTCAAATCCAGGTAGCCACTTGTGATTAAATAAGATTCTCAAACGTAGAGTCGATGATCTCTATGACTGCACCAAAATTAAATTTGTTCCTGCGTTTAATTTGACTGAATTCAAGCTGTAAGAATAGAAAATAATGGTTATAATGGCAAGCGACGAACATCCCTCTCCACAGTAGATGCGGGTGAAAAGTTCTGCAGTCTATGCCAATTGAAGGGACCTCGGAGGTAGCTCTGTAGTGTTCGCTTCCATGGGCCCGCTCTCGAACATGAACGAGCTGCACCGCTCTGCGAGAGATTTAAATGCACTCTTGGTCTCGTGAGACGACGCAGATTGTGCAATGCGGCAAATAATTCGGGAAAATCGCAATTTTTAAGAATGTGCAGAATCTTCACAAAAAAACCCACAAATATTTCTACAAGACAGCAAAGCAAGCTCCATCGAATATAACCCGACCAACCGGCCAGGCCGGGTAGACTGCATGATTCCACAGCTGGGTGTGGTTTGTTGTCGTTATCTCATCGTGATCATTCACATGCACGATCGACATTAAGTTCCCACTGGCCACGCAGTAACCTGCCAAATGTCATGGAATTTACAATGAAATGTGCGTGCAAAATTTAGTCTAATCACAAGCTTGTTCCACCTTATGGCGACAGTGGTGCGTTTGGCGCAAAGGAGGGTTATTTTCTACTTTGATCCGAGTACTCGAATGTGCACAACAGCACAGTTGAGGTTGTAGATGTAACAACGCACTCCGTCTCTGGCCAGGATTCATGAGGTTTCACAGAGTCACTGAATGCGGCATCGTTTTAGCATCTGCTCAAAAGAAAGCTGTCTCTGGTGTGAACCAATCAGTTTCAAAGACAATGCATATATTATCAGAGTACGTTTTTGTTTGCCTTCTGACCACAAGTATTGCAGACATGATTCCGTGTAAAAGGTTTCAGTTTGGTGTTTTAACATCCTAACAGCTGTTTTGTTGCAAGAAAAAAGAAGAAAACGTATACTCAGAATCTTCAATGTCCAATAATTCGCGAGTGCCGTGGTCGAAATAAATAATTTCAAAGGAAGGCCCTTTAAAACGGATTGCCCTGATATCTCCAAGCCACAATATTGGTTTTGCCCCAACTTCAATGTGGGTCGTAAAATCGAATGTAGTTGGTCTGTTTCTCTCCGTGGTCTTCCATCCAAGCAATTTATTGGGCCAAACCCTGCATAGCTTATGAGATGAGACGGAAATGCGGGGCATCCTGGGGCTTACGGTACCCGAGTAAAGCGACACATCGGGATATTCTGATTGGCGAAACCGCGGTGGTCTAAAGCTCACACAGCCGAGGCTATTGTGTCTTAAGAGGGGGGGGGGGGGGGCCCGCATGCTGCGATGAACTGAAAATGGATTCGTAATAGAAGAAGCTGATTATATCCCGTACGTAGGCAGAAGTCCTCACAATCCACGACAAGGGGATATATTGCATGCATGCCCGTGAAAATTGAATGCTTTAGATTAAAATGTCTTACTCCGCCGGCATCGCGAGCGGACTTTTCTATTTGCTCGTGCACACTTCGCGGTGGAGACGGTAGCAATCTCTCTCTCTTTCTCTCTCCCGTATTACACGATGTACCACGATTTTTGTTCCTGGGTCGTAAGTGTTATTTCCTAATTGCTTATGCCTCAAAAGTACAAAAAATGGCTATTATTCCCCACAAACTTTGCTTTTGTGACCACGACTTTATGTGAAGGAAAGACACAAATGCACACCACGTGTTCTCATTGAAAATAGGTACATTTCTAAATATCAGTCTTGGTCACAAAAGCAAAGTTTGTGGGGAATAATAGCCATTTTCTATACTTTTGAGGCATAAGCAATTGGAAAAAAACACTTACTACCCAACAACAAAAAATACATCTTTTTTTGTTACACAGTGTTATTGTCGCCGACTCGTGCTGGCAAATGTCAGCAATTTAAGCGGCAAGGGGCGGCGGTGGCTTTTGTTGGGAGGGGGTCGCTAGCTAGCAGGTGTTTCGTGGATTTCTAATCGGAGGGGGAGGAAGGGGGCAGGCTCTTCGGTCTCCTGCTCCGCCACGACTCACGTGCCGGCGTCGTGCCCCCCAACCTCTCTGAATGAGCCCCCCGAGTGCGAGCTCTGTCGTTGGACGCCCGCTCGCATCGCCCTGCGCGTTCGCGCACCCGTGCTTAGTGCGACGGTGTTTCTAAATCTGGGGCACGATACAAAAGGCCGTGCCTGTCCATGTCCGTGCTGAGTCTTGGCTCATTCCTCTATTCGCCTGCCTGCCTGTGTGTGTGTCTCTGTCTCTTTGTATTTGCATAGCTTTCTGTCACTTGCTATCTCGGGCTCCTCTACGCGCGTGTCCGTGTCTGTGCCAGCCTTAATCCATCGCTACGACTCCACTCGTTGTGTTCTGCTGTCTTGTCCACTATCCCCCCCCCACCTCTCTCTCTCTCTCGTTATCTT